AAAAGCCATTATTATTGAAAGTGATGCATATCTGTTTTTCCTGTTTTAAATTCGTCGCAGCTGATCAGCAATAATCTCTAGATTTTTTGTATATGGAAACATAACTGAGTCATTATTAATGATGGAAATCGCTGTGTCAAGTTGTTCCAATGCATTCATGATGCAAACTTCAACAGAGTTTTTGTGTTGGCTCTCAGAAAAATAGAAAAAATACCTATTTAGCAAACTATATTTTCTGTCCTGATGATATCCGATTCTCTAAAATGACGACTGCACACAGCTGAATATTTTGAAGGTGTCCAATTTTTTCTGGGAATTGCCATAAGCCATTTGTTTTTCAGACTTTCGGTACTTGGGAAGCGAAAAGTTGAAACATCGCTTTCTGTTTTCAAAGCAGAATTATAGTTTGCATTTAGGAACACAGCAACAACGAGGCATATTGTCTGCGTCAAATACTTGATAAATGAAAAAAGAAAAATACAACCTGAATTTGCACGTTTTCAATAGTTGAAATCCTTAGCGTCCTGAGGCGCGAACAGCCACAGTCACACTTCTTAGTTTATTTTTAAAGCACAGAAGCACTACAACTGGAGTCTATTTCTCATATATTATAGTCACCGATCACTTTGAACACATACACACACTTTGAAGCTTAGAAAACAAGTTTATCTCTTAATTACAGCCTCTGGGATTCCAAAATCACAAATTGAAAAGGTTATGTTTTCTCAGCGTTTTGAGCACGAGTTGCGTCGATGCAGCAAGCAGCGGCGGGAGTAACACTACCACCTATGTTGTCAGATTTCTTTGTTCACGGCTCGTAGTTAACGTCGGCTGTGGTTATGTTAATCGGTTGTGGATACTTTTCGCAACAGCATGAGAAATAACGCGGACATAACCTTAAATTTGTGACCTTAAAGCTGTACCCTACAACGCTACAACCTCAATACTTTGGCTGTAAAGGTGTCTTTGATGAAATGGATATACAAGAACTTCTTGATTTGGGCGCTATAGGGGCAGTGAACAACGAGGAGTTGGAGACTGGGATTTTGCACAGCATTCTCAACAGACAAGTTCCACGTTCGCTTGACTTCTTTCGCAGTACACATAATACAAACTTTATGAATAAAAATGAAAACCACAGGCCAACCGATTTTTTTTCAAATTAAGTAAAATCACCCATTAACGGCACCTAACCTCAAATCATAACGATCATCGCCCGATTGGTTCCGGGTATCCACGAAACGATCATATACCGCCTCGCGCTTAGTGTTCTCAAATTACGCTAGGCGGTAACGTAATTAGTACCCGCTATCATGAAACCCACAACTGAGCATGCGTATCTGTCAAAATAACGTGCCTAGAAAATACCGCAGCACGTTAAGTGGCAAGCGAAAACTCCCTATTGTGACTTTTCAAGATACGTAAAACCCGTGCCGACGGGTATCTTGAAAAGTAACGTTATATTGATTTTTTTGAAATTATACTGTCTTTTTTTCGACATTATGTAGGTTTTTCTACAAGATGTTAACTTAGACTTAGTTGTACGTGTTGCCTAAACGTCATGAGGCTTCAGTTATCAATGTTTGGCTCTGATGTGATGTAAAATCTGCTTCAGAGATGGCATTACTGGAGGTCTAAGCTGTAAGTTGTATGTGTTGATGATAATTCCATTTTATTCTTGCCTCAAATACACTTACTTGAGATTCAAAGCTAGAAATTAGTTGCGCATCCACTTTTTCTTATCCATGCTGGAAATTACTTATGCAAATTTGCTGAATTTAAAAAATGAGAAGCATAAGAAATAATTATATTCACTGTACACTTTCGAATTACAAGCCATATACATGCTAACAGTAATTACACACACCGCGGGCGCGGTGGTGATTCCCCGTCATTCTCCTCAAAGTTTTTCGTAATTTATAACTTTGAACATAACCTCTCTTCAGAAAGCAGAACACGTCGGGCACAGCTAATAGATATACTTCAATGGCAGCATATTCAGTAATGATTTTCTCGCACAGCAAATATCACTGATTTTATACACATGCAGACCAATACACATAATCATCCAGATGCGATCTTGCTATTCAGCCAACTTTATTCTCAGAGATGAAAACTACAGACCACTCGACTTCACAAAACATATGCAATCAACAATGCGTGTCGTTTAGTTGAGTCATTCCTCCATACATGGACACTCACAACGATCCTAGTGAGCAAACGTAGAATGACTAGTCTGCAAGATGACATTTTATAGGTTTTTTTTGACGTTTTATAGGTTTTTTTACATAATACCCGTGCGTCAGCTGTTACGAAGATATTGCCCAACAAAAAAAAAGATGTGCATGTACAGGGTGGCCCATCCATGTGTGGACGGAATATTACTCATAAACAAATACATTTTGGGCAAATCTATTTATAGCATTTTATACATGACATTTGAGGGCTCATTTCTAAAATATTGGCAATTATACATTGTGTCCCAATTTTGACTTACATATCTAAGTTGTGATTTTTTAAATGAAATGCCTCAAATTTTATTGCATATTTGGATGAAAAGTAGAAGATTGATATAACATAATATGGGGTGTTGGTAATTAGCTACTGAGATGGTGTTTTGTCCAGAAAAACCGTCCACTTCGGGCACCCCTCAACCCACCAGGTTTAAATTTGGAGTGCTGAATTTTATATCAAATGTATGTATCTTATTTATTAATTTTTCGAATTTTCATTTTTGCTCATACAGGGTGGTCAAAAATGCAATTTGTACTTTTTCTCAAAAATTTCAAAAGCATCACCCTGTATATTTGTGCAAGTTTGGATTCAATTTTTTATAAGCCTTTTTTTGGTGTAAGGTTTTAATCAGATAAAATCACTAGATTTTGAGTTATTAAGCTTTTAATAGAACAACAAAATTAAGAAAAAACCACATCATCCATGGAAATAAAAGACAGTTGGCTAGTTCCATATTGCCACTGAGAGTAAAGGTTTGACGTAAAAACTGATAACAATCAGAATAGTATAAATCAGCTTCAAGCGTAATAGAAAAAAAAACAACTATAACAACAACATAAACAAACAACTATCACTACTCAAGACCTAATCTACAAAAACTGCCCGAAAATATCTCCACCATGTTGAATACATAGCCGTAGTCTTTGGATAAACGTCCGTTGTACACAATCTTGCTTAACGTAGCCCCATAGAAAGAAGTCCATCGGTGTCATATCTGGTGATCTAGGAGGCCAAGATATAGGCCCATCACGACCGATCCAACGATTGTTACTCCAGAAGTCCAAATAGTTACGCACACGATTATAATAATGCGCAGGTGCGCCGTCATGTTGGAAGTACATATGCATTCGAGTTTGCAGGTTGACATCCTCCAAAAGCAAAGGCAAACGCTCGATCAAAAAATTCAAGTATTCTGTACATGTTAATCTGATGTCGTAAAAGAAAGGCCCGATAACTTGTCTGCCAATAACTCCTCCCCAAACATTCAAGCTCCATTTATTTTGGAAATCTATTTGTCTAACCCAGTAAGGGTTTTCCGTCGCATAATAGTGTATGTTATGCCTGTTGACAATACCTATGCTGTTAAAAGTTGCCTCATCGCTAAAAAGAACCTTATCCAGGAAAGTAGTGTCTTCACTCACTTTATTTAGCATTATGCTACTAAACTCCATTCGAGCTGCAAAATCCTGAGGACGAAGGCCTTGATGCAAGCATAGGTGATTTGGATGGTACCTATGCTTGTGAATAGTCCTTTGGACAGAAGTTCTGCATAAATCAGTTTCTGCTCCAATTTGCCGTGCGCTCAATGGGGATTTTGCTGCAACTTTAATAGAACCTCCAACTGATTCGCCTCATTGGTGACACTTGGATTATTTATACATTTTTAACTATATTCCACTGCTCCACTTGATTCAAAATGTTCTCGTAGTATGGAAAATGTTTCCGGCCTTGGATGTCGCATATTAGGGTACCGTTGCTTATATGTGCGAGATGCTAGGAAACTGTTTGGGCTTCGCCCAAAACGAACACAGTATTCACCATTTCTTCTTTAGAAAAATTTATTTTTAAACACGTTATTATAATGCTCACAAAGCTAATTTTGACAGTTAGTAACTAATCAATAATTTATTTGTGTCCAAGGATGATGCGATATTTGAGGGAATTAAGCCGTTCCATAAAAGACGTGCTAATAACCGAAAAAGTAGCCGTAAAAACCCTTATGTGTCTAGTATCAAAAAAAGCTTATAAAAAATTGGATTCAAACTTGCACAAATATACAGGGTGATGCATTTGAAATTTTTGAGAAAAACTACAATTTGCGTTTTCGACCACCCTGTATGAAGAATTAAAATTCGACAAAGTAACAAATAAGATAAAAGCTGAAGTGTGTAAGTTCTTTTTGATACACAATTCAGCACTCCAAATTTCAAAATTGTGGACTGAGAGGATGCCGAAGTGGGGGGTTTTTCCAGACAAAACACCTTACATCTCAGTAGCTAATTACCAAAACCCCATAGTATTTTATATCAATTTTTTTCTTCACAACACAACTTTGATATGTAGGCCGAAATTGGGACACCCTGTATAATGACCCATATTTTAGAAATGTGCCCTCAAATGTCATGATGTCAGTCAAGTCATCGTTGGTTGTCAGAGCGGTCCGTGGGACCTTAGCTCTTGAGTCACAGTGTCAGTTTGTAAGTCTGTCAGGTCTGGTAAGCCAGAAACCAGACAATTTTAATGTCATGATGTATAACGTCCCATGAATAGATTTTCCCAAAATGTATTTGTTTATGAGTAATATTCCGTCCACACATGGATGGGCCACCCTGTATAGACTGAGATAGAGACAGACCAACAAGACGTTTTAGAGCTAATCTTGTAAGGAGAGGTTATCTCATATGTGTCTTGTAACCGTGAAGGAATTTTTTGTTTTGTATAACGAAACAACTTTATTCATCCCTGTTCTATAAAATGATACATACCTTGTATGATTACAATCTGCCTGTTAAGTATTCTAATAGCACCGTGGAGTAAAATGGCGGACATTCTCAAAGAAAACCGTTTTTTGGGATCTCCAGATGAGCTTACTATAAACTTGTATAAATCGTCGCTGCAAAATTGAATTAAATGTAATTTGCATTTCAAGTATATGAATTTAATAATTAAACTTACCACAGCCTGCGTGTATTTAATATAACGATGTCTTGATTTGATATGTAACCGATACCCCTAGTTGCAGCAATCCACGCCTTGCCCAGATTACCATTATGTTGGTAATTCAATAAAATAATATCAAAGAACATCTTGCAATAATGTGATACCTTTAGGCACCTATATATCTTTTGGAAAATGTTAAAGCTAAGATCTGAGAATAAAAAAGTCTCTTAATGAAATTGAATTCGAATTGATTTATGGAACAGAAACAGCCGAACAATCACGGAACAATAAGCGCTGGGCGCGAACACATAGAACACAAAATAAGTCGGAACGTGCTCTCAACTGCATTGAAAAGGGCATGAAATGGAGGCCATTTTCAAGGCGAAATTAATAGCTGCAATCTGCAGTTTAGTACTCATACTGGATATCATCTAGACCGACTCAATTGCTGACAATAAAAATAACCTGCTTTCTATGCCTTACACTCATACTGATTGCTAAAAGGGCGTTATTGAACGTCCAATAAAGTCAGGCACTAATAATTCCTGGCCGTATTTGACATCTGAACAGTCGCAGTAAAACAAAAATAAGATATAATTAATAAAGTTAGTGTCTGCCTCTATATTGAAGGTCGCTTAAAATCGTGGCACAGACAAGACTTTATAATTAATAAGTTTACTTTAATTAAATCAGTCTTGGTACACTTTTCAGCAAGATGAAGGTTTATTTTATCCCAATATTTCTAAGTTCTAGTCCAATAACTCCTTATTGAAATACTGCCGGCCTTACACTAATGATGGCAAATAGAGACCGATCCTAAAATTGTTTCAGAATTTGAGTTATTGGGTGTATACCCTATTTTACGAGTATCCATCACGGTTTCACGGTAGAATGACAGCCGATTACGTAGTGAGATCTCAAAATTCCCCACATTAGCACAGGACACATAATTCTGACGGATACATCAACGCCCGGTAGACAGAGCCGTATTTTGTTTTGGGTTTTTTGTACGCTACAGATTCATTTTGTACTTGCTAACAGCTCTTTTATTGGCGTACTATTTTTTCCTTAAAAAATATCAAAGTCAATAACCGTACGCACGCCACTGTTGAAGCTAAAAATTATTCTTGCATTGAAAAATATGCAACTTTCACTACGTACTAAATATCAGTAAAATATCTTGAGCGGTTATGAAAATATCAATTAATTTCCATATTTTTCATAAAACTTCAACAGCCCGAGTTTTTGTAACAAAACGTTTTTGGACCATAGTTTATAAAGCAAACTAACATTAATTTTTCATGTATATTCACACCCTTAAATATTCGCATATCATTAAGGAACACCCTGTATACAGGGTGTTTCAGTTTATTGTTGCATAACTTTAAGATTCGATAGAACTTTTAAAATTAATGCATAAAGTCTATATAAACATGGGTCGAAAAATGCGTGGCTTCCGAAATACACGGTGTTTAAATTTACTTTCTAAAATAGTTTTTTTTTAAATATTTCGAGCAATATTTGATGTATAACTGAAAATTGGTATACAAGGGCTTTTTTGGTACGACAAAACGAACCATGGGCATAGTTATACTGTAGCCGCTAGAGGGTGCTCTCTACTGTACCTAGTGTATTAAAATGACCGAAAATTTTTTCTTAGTGCAATTTTTTGCTTTTTGAATAAAAAAACTGATTCTTTGCACTTTTCTGCATAAAAAGCTCTCCTGTGAGTTTTCGTTATAGTTAGCCGTTTTTGAGATATTTCGATTTTTAAGGTTCGATGCATTTTTAGTTATTTATGGGAAAATAATATTGTTTTTTACATTTTCGATTTGGGCACTACAAGTAATTAAGATTATCGTTTAGATTGTGTTTTTAAACACAGCAATAATTCCTAACTCCAAATAAACACAAAAAAACAGAATATTAATTTGTTTAATTTTCCAATATTATTTTTAACAAATTAAATTAATTATTTACAACTAAAATGCTATAGATAGTTAGGACAAACATACAAAATCTGAAGTAGTTGCTCGAAATGTAAACCCAATTGTTCAATACACAATTCACATCTACGACTGATCGAACGTGGTATAGCATTATTCAAATAAGGACTTATCTCATCACATGCGTTCCTGATTGTCTATTAGCATATCTCTTGTGGTTACGGGAGTCTGGTACACTTTTTCTTTTAAAAATCCCCACACAAAGAAATCGAATGGATTTAGGTCAGGGGATCGTGGAGGCCAGGCGACTGGTCCTCCACGGCCGATCCATCTTTCTGGATAATTTTCGTCCATCCAGTTTCTAACTGTTCTTGAATAATGAGCTGGACAACCATCAAGCTGGGACCAGGCCAATCTTCTTAAATCTAACATAACATCATCCCACATATTTGCAAAAAAAGGTCGCAGCATTTAACCTTGCAGGCAAAAGGTAGGGTCCAAATAGTCGATTACGGTAGATACCAATCCACACGTTTACCCTAAATTCATGATGAAAATTTCTTTCCCGAACTGCATGCGGATATTCATGCGACCAAGCATGCTGATTATGAAAATTTACCACTCCACGTCTAGTGAAGCATGACTCATCGGTCCATAAAACGTTACTTAAAAACTCCCTATTATTATCAGTTATATCAAGAATCCACTGACAAACTGTGATTCTTCGTTCTCCGTCCCCTGTCTGTAGTCCTTGCACAGGTTGCAAATGATAAGGACGTCTATGGTTATTTCTAAGAACACGGTGAACATGGCTTACTGAAATTCCCAAGGCACCAGAAACTCTCCTAACACTTGTGGTCGGATCTCTATCAAACTCACGCAGAATCATACGGGTAAATCTGCGCTGACGAACATTTATGTTTTGATCTCTTTGGAGATTTCCAAAACCATTTTCAATTATTTGGCGATGCACTCTTACAAATACTGAGCGAGTTGGATGTCGTCTGTTTGGAAATCTTCGTGCGTATTATCTGGCTGCTTCTGCTGCGTTTCCATTTACAAAGCCATACACAAAATGAATATCCGCTAACTCTTGATTGGAGAACAAAAATGGCATTTTTATAAAACTTACAAAAAAAAACTGGTAAAAGAAACTAAATTTCGTGCATTCACAATTTCAAAAAAACGTTTCAGGTTTCAACAGACAACGAAACTAACTGTCAACTAATTGACGATTAACCTTATTCTGCTTTCAACTTCAAAAATATTTGCAGGCACAGCCTACTTCTAAAAATTATCGAGATACTGACTTTTTAACGTTATTTTATCATAAATAATTAAAAATGCATCGAACCTTAAAAATCGAAATATCTCAAAAACGGCTAACTATAACGAAAATTCACAGGAGAGATTTTTTATGTAGAAAAGTGCGAAGAATCAGTTTTTTTACTCAAAAATCAAAAAATGGCACTAAGAAAAAAATTTCGGTCATTTTAATACACTACAGGTATAGTAGAGAGCGCCCTCTAGCGGCTACAGTAAAACGATGCCCATCGTTCGTTTTGTCGTACCAAAAAACCTTGTATACCAATTTTCACTATTATACATCAAATATTGTTTGAAATATTTGAAAAAAACTATTTTAGAAAGTAAATTTAAACGCCCTGTATTTCGGAAGCCACGCATTTTTCGACCCATGTTTATATAGACTTTATGCATTAAACACCCTGTATATATATATATATAAGGCGAGCAGTAGTCATTGCCATTGCCAACGACCAGTTGGGCAAGAAATACAATCAATTGTTTGTTGGGAAATTGGCAAAATTTTTTTTAGGCTTTAGTAAGCTCTTTTAACGGTAATCTCGAGCTTTCGGCTTCTCTATGGAGCCACCTTCAGGAGTCGTCGCTGAGGTTGCAGCCAAATGGTGTTTCAAAACGAAAGCGTGGATGAGAGCACTTGTTAGGAATATAAAACCAAAAGGACGGATAACGACGGAAACCATCGTTAGGTGTTAACACTATACAATGTGTTTGGTCACGACCTACGGATATTTAAGGGAGGTATTTTTCAGCTATATTTATCGACAAATCCACCCCCTACAATGTCCTACCTTACCCCTCTTGAAATGGCATCCATTTTTATTTTTACGTTACGATTACACTAGTTCATGTATGAAAATTGTAATAACTGAGTACATAAGTGTTACAGAACGATAAATTTGGTGTCAATTGAACAATAGCATGTTGTTCTAGCGATTGATGAAAAGCTTGTATTGATACTAACCGTCAAACATACTTAAAAACAGACAAAACCTGAAAAACATATTCAAGAAAATTGATTATTTTGTGCATTTCCGCACACCATTCAAAAACTAGTTTGTGAAGTTGTACTTTTTTGTGCTAATTCTACAGCTAACTATGTTATCTACAAAGTGACACCAAATTTGTTATCCTAAGTCTTCTACGTTAAGTAATAAATGCTATCTAACATGGGTCAAAGTATACATAAAAATGACAAATCAAAGTTTCTTATAAATAGTTCAATGTCACAAAAAATTCTATGAACGGACGAAGCAAAATTTACGAGACAGGGGATCATAAACCATAGAAACGACCACTTGTGGTCTTCGGAAAGCGCTCACGCAGTTCGACTGAGCACTATCCAACAGGAATTTGATGTAAACATGTGGGTCCGAATGATCGACGGAGTTTTAGTCGGCCCAGTTGAGCTACCTCCAAGGTTAGATGGTCAGGGATTTTTGGACTACCGAGTTTTCAGATCTACGCCACTTATAAACCGCCGCAACATATGGTTGGAGCTCCCACACGCTTTTGCGCTAGAACATTTGGATAGGCAACATTCTCCATGGATAGGACGTGAAGGCACTGTCGCTTGGTTACCCCGATTACCCGATTTAACGCCCCTAGATTATTTTTTCTGGGACACAATGAAGCAAAAAGTCTACTGTCATGTGTCGACGACACGGGAAGAGCCCGTGGAATGGATCCATACCGCTGCGAACAAAATTAGAGCTGACACGGATATGACCCGCTGCTCAACACGACACATTGTTTTAAGAACTACAATGTGCATAATAAATAATGAAGGGTATTTTGAACAGCTTCTGTAACATTGAACATGTCCAAACTACTTATAAGAAACTTTGATTTGTCATTTTTATGTATACTTTGACCCATGTTAGATAGCATTTATTACTTAACGTAGAAGAAATTTGGTGTCATTTTGTAGATAACACAGTTAGCTGTAGAATTAGCACAAAAAAGTACAACTTCACAAACTAGTTTTTGAATGGTGTGCGGAAATGCACAAAATAATCAATTTTCTTGCATATTTTTTTCTATTTTTGTCTGTTTTTAAGTATGTTTGACGGTTAGTATCAATACAAGTTTTTCAATAATCGCTTGAACAACATGTTCAAATGACACCAAATGTACCATTCTGTGACTCTTATGTTCTCAGTTATTACAATTTTCATACACGCACTAGCGTCATCGTAACGTGAAATAAAAATGGCTGCCATTTCAAGGAGGGTGAGGTAGGACATTGTGGGAGGGTGGATTTGTCTATAAAAATAGCTGAAAAATACTCCCCTTAAATATCGGTATGTCGTGTCCAAACACATTGTATATCAATACACCCGATACCCGAACACATTAATAATTCTCGAAAAGCAATGTTTGGCGAAAAAACTGGCAAAGTCCCTTCTAACCTCCTAAAGACGAAACTGATGTTCTTAGTCGAATAGTCCATAGTCGAATTATTCTGAGTAAGCAGGCGTTATTTCTCTGTCATATTTGTTCTATCAATGCAAAAACATGGCGGCAAAAGTCATTCGTGTTGCTGGTTGAATTGCTCTGAGTAAGCGTTCTTTCCGAATATGTTTTGTGCGTGTCGTGGTGACATATTTATGTAGATCTCAGGTAAGGTTATGCTTAGGGATGCGCGATATTCTTCAATGTATCGATATTTGGTATCGATCCGTATCGTGAGAAATTGTATCGATACAGGAAAATATCGCTGTAAAAGAATCGATACCTAAGGTATCGATACCTCGATATGGTTATTCTGTAAGTCGTAATCTTATCCGTTACAAAAAAAATTAGGAATCGTGTTTGAATTTAAATCAATGTATGATTGATTAATAAATTTTGGGTTCCAAAATCAAATATATTTGTTTATATAATTTTCACATTTAATCATTTATAACAAAAAAAAAATAAAAAATAATTCTCGTATTAAAAAATACATATATAAAAGAAAATATAAAACAATACAGTTCCAATGTTTAACTTGAACTAACAAGTGTTGATATGTAAAAACTAAAATATTATAATCAACATAAATATAAATATATATAAACCAACATAATACAGGTTTTTCTTCAACTGCTATAAAAAATATCAAAAAAAAAAAAACAAAACTATAATAGGTTCCAGTCTTCAAAATTTAAGGAACTTAAAAATAAAAGCTCTGATAATCTTTCTCCACTAAGCCTGTTACGGTTTGGGCTAATAATATTTCCAGCTTTGGAAAAAAGCCTTTCTGATGGAACTGAGGTTCCCACAATAGATAAATATTTATGAGCTATTTCTTTCAACATATGTGACGCGTGTGTGCTCCAGTAAGATAATGGGTCTGACAATATTGGTAGTGTTTGGCTGTTTAAATATATTTTAAAATCATAGTCAAGGCTGTCCCTAGTATCCACCTGCTTTAAAGTGTGTTTGGCAGCTAATTCTTCATGGTAAGCCCATAAGCATTGAGATTTATTTAGTTGAGGTTGAGGCGGTTGAGCACTTTGATTTTGTGAGTTTGGAGCATTTTTCATTTGGTCTTGGTTATGCAATTCACGTAATTGTTGAATTGACTGGTTAATAAAAGTAACAGCATTAGCACATGCCACTGGACTATTGAAATGTAGTTTTTTAAAACGGAGGTCTAATAAGGTTGACACAGCTAATAATTTATTTTGTTCTATAGCCCCAAACCTTTTAGAAAGTTCATTAATTGTTGTAGTTTTTAAAGTTAATATTTCTTTAGAATATGGGGATAAATTTCCAATATTTTTAAAAAGGCAGTTAACAATAGGTATAATCTTACTTGATGTTAAATATTGCTCGCCGCTGACATCTTTTGAAACTGCCTCGATAGGAGATAGAATATTTAAAAGTTCTTTTATTTTTTCCAATTCAGATGCATCTAACATGGCTGGTGACTTTGGGTTTTTTAGTAAAATTGGAGCTATATATTCATATAAGTTAGTAAATCTGTCCAACATGTAAAAGGTCGAATTCCACCTAGTTGGCACAGATTGTATTAATCTTAAAATGTTATTTTCTGGCTGTGCTCTTCTTAAATCATCGGGTGCCGATGCCGCAACTTTCTCAATCCGCGGATCGTATGATCCGATATACAAGCAAAAGTATCGATATTAGTGATGTATCGCATTGAAAACATCGATACAAAATATCGGGTATCGAAAGCAGAAGTATCGATACTTTAAAAGATCGTATCGTATCGCGCATCCCTAGTTATGCTTTCCTTTTTATCGTCGTTGTGTTTGAGCCTTGAGAGGTTATGTTGTGTTGCTTGGGTCGTTATTTTCCTTTATGATCTGCCTTTTTCCTGTAGCTAGGATGTGGGATGGCTTTTCATAAAGAACGCTAATGTTTCTGTAAAAGTGTCTCTTATCTTATAATTCACTAGGTATAATATCTGTGCTCCGGCCCCTTGAAAATATTTTTTAAAACAACAAGATGTTTGAAGCACAAGAGGTAAATGCAGAGCATAAAGACCTTATCCATGATGTAGCTTATGATTTCTACGGACGTCGAATGGCGACTTGTTCCAGTGATCAGTTTGTAAAAGTAAGAAAATTGTGTTGTATGCAGTATGAAGATTCCAATGCAAGAACTGTTCAAGTCCAATGTACAACTAAATTGTGTTGCTCACCTGTTTATACATGATCCAGAAGGCAAAAGAAAGCTACTAATATATAGGATAGACATAGACCCAGTAGCCAAATCATTCTAAACTATCTCAGAGTATGTATTTGCATTTACATTTTGTCTCCTATGAATTTTAACATGAAGGATATAATAACTGCATTCTTTGCAATGGAATCTTTATAAGTAATATGTGTGATATAGACCAGTTTCACGGATCTGAATTATTAATTTTTTAACCCCTAAGTTGGCAAACCTGTTTTTCATTTTTTTTTATTATATTTATAAATTCATTAGGATCTGAGTTATGAGGGAGAACTTGTGATTTTTGTGAGGTACCGAGCAGATTCCAGCTGTATATATAGTGTATTAGTCTGCTATGATTTTTTTTTTTTATACTCCAACTACCACGAAGGCCTAAGGCCTAAGCACCCATTGGGTACCGTGGGGCTATGTATATTAAGAGATACAATGCTGATTGCTTTAGTTGTTTAATAATGTACACCCAAATTAAGAAAAATCTATTATTGTCTGTTTATAGTTAACTAAACTTGCATATAATGAGAAACCAAAATGTCATTCACAAATGAATGAAAAATAATCCATATAAATTCAGTTTACATAACAATGTATGTAATTATATCGAATGCTGATATTTGCTGGAATCTGTTAATTTCTGGTGAAATAAAAGAAATACAATTATAAGGCATATATTCTGGTAATTTGAACCTTTTTTGTAAATGTTAATCCTGACAAATTTAGATGTGCACAGAGTATGATATATGATATAAAATAATGTCAACCAGCAGCTTGGAAGTTACAGATCATATGCCATTGACCAGGGCACTATAACTTTACTATAAAGTTACACCACTCAATACTATCAGCTGACAAGCTGCAGTCATTACATTCTTAATTCACATAATATATGCTAGATGGTGGAAGTATAGATTTTGATGATTGTGGGTGTAAATAAGACACCTTCAGTATAAAATGTTTGATATGCTGACTTGGAAACAGGTGTGTTTGGACATATATTATCATATAAGATACATTGCCAAATTAAGGGTTAAATGCCTGAATAGTGCTGCATTTGGGAACTGAAGCATCCTAAATTCCTTCCAAAGCCAAGATAAACATTTATTTATGTGTTCATTTGGTGAGTCCCACAGTATCAAGAGCTAACATGTGGTGGTCCAATTCATGATCTCACATAAGGTGGAATACTGTTTGCACTAGTCTTGATTTTTCTATCATTGTGAATGATTGATATTCCTGATATACTGAGAGCAAAGTTATCTGGCTTTGTTAAATTATGTACCAATATTCTTTCTATGATATATTCATCTTATTAGGTATGGGACCAAAACAGTGAGGGTAAATGGATTTTAAGCTCCAGTTGGAAAGCTCACAGTGGTTCAGTATGGAAAGTAACATGGGCACATCCAGAATTTGGCCAAGTATTAGCAACATGTTCTTTTGACAGAACTGCTGCTATTTGGGAGGAGATTGGGAATATAGGTTGGTAGACTTATAGTAGCTAGTAACTCTTTATGAATAAAATTGAAGTAACAAAAAATTGTATCAAGGAAGATTCTACTTTTCATAAAAGCTATAGCAACCCTAAATACTACATTAGATGTTGAGAAAGATCTTCATATACCATGTGTTTCAAACCACTGGAATCTCGGAATCGGTAATAGATACGAAGTCGTTAAATTGGAGCAAAGTTGCATATTTAGGTAAATAACAAAATGTATCTTAGAAAGTTTCGAAATTGAATGTACTTCCGAAGAGAGATGGAAAAAACCGAATTTTACCAAAATCGTTTAAATTTATCCTGACTTTATTTGTAGTAGGATTCCAAATAAATTGCACAATAACATTGCCACTTTTCTTCTCTGCAAAATGGCATACTTCGAATTTCAATATGGTGTTTCGTCTCTTGTCCTTGAGCATCAACTTTATTTTTTCTTAAGGATGCCATATTGGATTTTTGCCTTGAAATTATTGTTTCATATACCAGCTTTATCACAAAATCATTATCAAGGCACACCTAGGATATTTTATTTTCTTGACATAACTTAGGTTTGGCAAGGTCACTGTATTTACATATACATATGTATTTACTTTTTTGGAATTAAAAACTATTCACCTATGCAAGAATCCAATTTGGCATCTTTAAGAAAAAATAAAGTTGATGGTGGAGGACAAGAGACGAAACTTCTTATTGAAATTCTAATTATGCTATCTTGTAGAGGAGAAAAAGTGGCAATGTTAACGTGCAACTTATTTTCAAGTCCCGCTACAAATAAAATTAGAAAATAGGAAAAACGATTTTGGGAATATTCTGTTTTTCCGTCTCTCTCTGGAAATACTTTGAGTTTCGAAACTTTCTAAACAGCATGTTATTAGTTACCTAAATACGTAACTTTGCCCCATTTAAGCAACTTCGTATCTCTTACCGTTTTCGAGATCCTAATGGTGAGATTCGAATTTGAAACAACACTGTATGTGCTAAATTCTGGATTTTCACACTATTACTCATAAAATGCCTTAAACAAATTATAATATCAGCAGAACAATTGTTCAGTTGTGTTGTTTCAATTTATACAACAAAAAATTACATGATGAGGAGAGATACATGTTTTCTATGTAAGATTCAGCTCTTAATTACCTTCAAAATACTTGATCGCAGTTACTTATTCATGCGTTCTGCTACTGGGGTAATTAAAAAAAATGTTGTAAATATTTTTTCTCCAAAACATGTGTTTTAAATTTTTCTCTATAAAGGAGTAATTAAAAAAAACCGTTATCACTTCATACGAGTACTGTAATGTTATATTCCAAGAATGTAGCCATACTTTTTGTTATGAAATGTACAGTAAAATTCTGTCTGTATCTGCAGTAAACATTAATTCGTAACTGGTCTTTCCTCCATTGGGTAATGCAGAAGATTTAAATGAGTTCTCTTTCAATATGCTAATTTCGTTTTCTGTAGGACTTGAGCAAGATCAACAAGAATAAATAGAATCACCCATAAAAATGAATGGAGTTGATTTCTGCTAATACAATTTTTATGAAGTTGAAATTATTCTGTGAGAACAAATAAGGAACTTAACTGCTTCTTATGATTTAAGTTACAGTCTGATGATTTGACAATCTCATCAAAACATTTTTGTCAAATTCTTCACCATCCAAATTTTCTTTGAACTCTTCAGGTCCCAATGATCGAGGGGTACGCCACTGGGTCCGTCGTGCCAACCTTGTTGACTCTCGCACGTCGGTCACAGACGCCCGATTCTGCCCTAGATGGCTGGGACTCCAGCTGGCGACTTGTTCTGCAGAGGGTATTGTACGGATTTATGAAGCCCCAGATATAATGAACCTCAGTCAGTGGACTCTGCAACATGAGGTGCAATGCAGACTACCTTTAAGTTGTCTTAGTTGGAATCCTACTATGTCAAAGTAAGAATGAAGCTTATTTTTACTTAGTCTTAACACATTAACTGAGTACAGAAAATAAATTGATGAGACACTTGAAAAACAGTGAAAATCAAGGATATATGAGTGTTCCATTCCAAAAATTTGGTATCGACTATGACCAGAGATTTTTCAAAACATATGGAAAATAAGTTTGAGGATGATCTGAAACTGTTTTGTTCTACTTCATACGCCAATTGGCGAACAACCTTTGTAATCGCGAAAAAATCGAAAAAGAAATTTCTTTGGGATGCTGCTTGCCATTTTATTTTCTATATAACATTTTCTGGAATCTTCCGAATCTGTTATTTCATCAACAATCTAAAGGTACATCTTGTGTACATAAGATTGGTTGTGGTGTAACATAGGGTTTAGTTTTGAGTCTTACACTTTTCCAAATATATTCCTCTGTTATAATTGAAGTTTTAAATAAATTATCCCCTTATTTGTATGCAGACGAAACACAGATAGATAGACTTCACTTTGAATCTTTGTCACATCAATTTACCATTAACCCATCTAAATTTGCCATTATATTATTTGGTAAACATAAAGTTACTTTGCAAGATAACTTCACTGTCCGAATGGGTAACAATGCATTTAAGAACCTCAATGTGACAAAGAACTTAGGTTTGCAATTGGATAACGAATTAAGGTTCTCTGGTCACGTAAGAAAATGCATCCAAAGGGCATTTGTTCGGTTGAAGTTTTTGTTCCCACGCCGCCATAATCTGCCGATTAGATTAAAGATTAATCTTACTGACTTTCTAGTTTTGACACTATTCAGTTACTGCTATGTTGTGTATGGAGCCTGTTTAACGCAAATGGATTGTGAACGAATTCATAATATCCAAAAGTCGTTTCTCAACTTACGGCATCCGCATGTTTGACTGGATATCACACAAGCTAGAGAAAGTTAGTAGGCTCAATATGGCTTCCAGAAGAAAACTCTTTTCAGCAACAATATTCCATAACGCCTCCATATTTATGGAATAGGATAAAATTTAAACATAATTTAAATATTCGCAGTAAGTTCCATAACTTTCTCCCTCTACATCGAACTTCTATATTTGAGAGATCATTTACATTTAATAGTCATATCATCAAATCAATCAATCAATCAATCATTCCAAGCCAACTACAAAAAGTAACTACTATAAGCTGAAAAATGAAATAATGCACTCATATATCAATTGGCATTATAATAAATCTTAAAGAGAGAGAGAATTGATGTGACAGAAGCAATATCATCCGTCACTGTTTTTCTGTTTTTGTCTACACTATTTAATCTCAACCATTTATATATATTTTCCTCGAGTAACTTCGTTTATGATCCTCACAGCATAATGTTCATTATTTTGTCTTAGTTGGGTCAGCACTTGTATAAGTTTTTCTGTTTGTTACATTTATTGTTTCACTGAGTTACTGTAATTAGTGGCTGTAATTGTGAATAAATTTGTTTGTTGCTACTATTATTATTATATGATGAATAACAATGTCACTCATTTCCGCTGGTCTGTCTTTCTGTCAATGGCGTCTGTATAACTCTGGAAGTACGTACCACTCGAATTTTGATGAGGTTTTCACAAACCGCTTTGTGGGTTTTAAAAAATGAAAACTTTGTTTTCTGACGTTATTGGGAAATCGGTTGTAGAAACTAAGGGAGAGTATCAAAGTTTGGTATATTTTTCCGTAAGATTTATGACATATATGCAAGATTTAGAATGTTGGGAATCATTTCAATAACCCCATCGAGCGCAACGAGAAAAGAAGATAAAGATGTCGCGAGCTGGCCGCTATTGTTAGATGATAGGACAGAGGAGAAATTTATATATCGCGACGATGTCAAATGGATAGGACATGATCTAATTAGTGCTTTTGATATGCATGTTTTCACTAAACATTTTTCTAAGACGGTCTAACCTGTGCTAAAATCTTTAGCACAGATAGTTCCAATATAAAGCAGCATTATATACTATTACCCTGAACAGTACTTCTTTCCAAACTCAATAAAAAATGGTGCAGTGCTATCTGATATTAGATGGTTACAACGATGCCAGCAGATGGACCGACAGACACACAGATGGAAGTGAGTGACATGGAATGTTGCTGCCAAAACTTCTTAGCATCCTCATATTTCAGTTTAGTGATTTTGCAGGACCCTGATTATTTTTTGAAAGTAACAGATGGTTTTACAAGCTTTGAACTTTGTTATTGCATTTTAGATAAATATAGCTGCTTTGGTTACATAGGAACACTAGTAATGGTTTCATATCTTAGTTTGATTAAACATGCCTTCGCCAGACCGACCAAAAGACAGCCAACCAAGGACAGCTGTTTCGTCCTTCTTGGCTGGCCTCTGGTTTTTGGGACAATGAATCGCAACTGTCCTCCATCCAGAAGGTATGGCCCATTGAAATAAGTCAGACCGCATAGCTGCTATTAGTGGGAACTGTTAAATATCTCAAGTCACGTTTAATAGCCCAGTTACCATGTGACCGCTAGATGCCTGACGATTCTGGCTGAAAAGTAGATGTGGTCTACTTGCCATATCTGGCTGATACAGGATTCTTTCGTTCGTTGGTCTGAGAGACGAGAGACCATGCTGATGAGTATCCAAGAAGCACCAAATAGCTGTCTATGGTTGGCTGTCTTTTGGTCGGACGGACGAAATCATCATGTTTAGTTTTTTCAATGACAAATTGAACACATTTAGAGCCAGAATCATTAGCCATCTAGCCGTCACGTGGTGACTGGACTATTAAACGTGAACTGAGATCTTTAATAGTTCCAACTAATATCAGCTATATGCTCTCCGCATTAGTAGTCGTTTCTGGTGCGATAGATGGCGCTTTGCGCTGTCTTACTTCTTAGTTTGATGTTGAACACAAGAGATCTTAATATTATTGAAAATGGATCTTTTGCAGGATGCATCCGCCAATGCTGGCTGTAGGCAGTGATGATCAGGTAGCAGCCAATGGCGGGAAAGTATTCATCTATGAATACAGCGAGAACAGTAGACGTTGGGTAAAACTGGAAACCATAGGAACAATTACAGACGCGGTGCATGACATCGCCTTCTCGCCAAATCTTGGTAGAGAGTATCACATCTTGGCAGTGGCTTCAAAGGATGTACGAATCATCAATCTTGTACCTGTCGAGTAAGTGGCTTGAATCATTGCTTAATATAATCTCCAAGATATATACCTGTCCCTGTGTGGTGTTTGGATTTTTTCAGACAATCTCAGTATCTCAGTGCGCCGTGAAAACATCATATAATAAAAATCCTATATAATGTCATGAAGGTTTGAAAAGATTCATGTAATTGTAACCTTGTATATGACTTTCAAGGTCATTTGCAGGTTAAGTCAGTTTTTGAAATTAAACTCCAGAAATGCAAATAGAGGAAATTTTACGTTAAAGTATCTCTTTGCCCATGACCTTACCCATGATCTTCATGGGTATTTCAGGACGCCCAAAAGGTAGTGAAAATATCTCGAAAAATACGTTTCATAAAGAAAAATGGTGTGTAATAAGGTGGTAAGTTTGGAAAAGACTCATCTAATGGAGACCTTGAACGTAACCTTGACTATGATCCTCAAGCTCATTTGAAGGTCAAGGCAGTTTCAAAGAGCAAATAAACTTTTAACGATAAACATATATTTTTTAATTAATGAAATGCAAATGGCGGACAAATATATGTTCAAGTATATCCTTGACAATAAACGACCACTTTTTGTCCGGAATATAAAAAAGCGAATCATCGAAATTAGTTTATTGTTGCATTAAAATGTTGGATAAAAAATTTTCGTTGCCAAAGTAATTATTGCATTACTTTGAATATTGCATTTCTTTCTCTGAAATCATTCTACTTCACACTAATGCGGATTTAGTCTAGTATAGTTATATGCGTAAGTGGTTGGCAACGCCATGGTGCCTCTGGTGGAATGTGTTAACGAATGCCTAAGTCCCATGCGCACCCCAATTTCTACAACCATCAAAACTTTTCAGAAACGAAGAAACCTTACAAACGGGAGTTACAAAGTTAGATGTACAAACGGTAGCACAATTCGACGACCACAGCAGTCTTGTATGGAGAGTTTGCTGGAACCTCACGGGGACAGTATTGTCATCAAGTGGAGACGACGGCTTGGTCAGATTATTCAAAAGTAAGTGTATAGATTCTAGTGTTTCCAACGTCTTTGCCTCAGAGTACCTGTGAAGGACTAGGTGCCACAATGCCTACAAGAAAGAATGCCTTTTATCTCTATCACATGGACATCTGGTTTATGTCTGTCTTCCCGTGGAATTGTACAAGTGCGTCGTTGGGCAGAACCAAGTTTCAAGTAGTTTGCGCGTAGACATGAGCCTTATGGTAACGAAACAATATATACAATGAATTTCATTTGTAATTTACACAATCTATTTTCCTTTATATTCAATCCGTTAAAATCCAACTCCTTTGCTAACAGTAAGTTTTCTTGAACTGTGAACAGAAAATGTAGTCTTTAGGGGAAGATAATACATTATCAATAAATTATTTAAATCAGGTCATATTGCGTAATTTATGGAAAGTGTTTTTTGAAGCCACATATATTTTTCAACCAATTTTGGACCGACAGAGCAAAGTAAGAATGGAACTCGTGTAGTATGGGAATGTTCTTTCAAGTACAGGGACGACAGCTTCCTTTTTACAAAACTTAATTCTAGTATAAATCAGAACGATTTTATTTCTTTTTATAATGAAGGCGTATGCCCAGAGTTTTGTTTCACATAGTTTTGAAGATCAAATCAGATAGGTGACGTCCCCCATTCTTCATACATTGAGCAAACCGATTTCTGGCATTTGTCATGATTCTCGCCTACATAGCAGGCTTTATGTTGGCAATTTATTCCTGGATGAAGGTCTTTAAATCTTTTAGCGTCCGACAGTTCATATATGTTTACAAGCCGGTCTGAATTCACTGTATCTGCGATTCCATTTTTCCTCAAAGAACCAGGGACCAATAATTCTAGCTACGGAAATTGCACACCACACTTTCGGTGAATGCAAAGGCTTTAGATCCAATTCGCGAGGATTGGGGTCAGATCAGTAGCAGGTGTTTTGTTTACGGATCCACATGGACTAAAATGGTTTTCATCGCTAAAAAAACAATAGCGTTCTCAGGAACGACCTCGAGAAGACGCTCACACGCGTCCATCCGAGAATTGAAGTCACGCCCAGAAAGTTTCTGCACTATGGTCAACTTGTAAGGGTGGAAATGAAGGTCATCATGAAGAATTCTCTCAGAACGATGGGAAAGTCCAAGTGCAGACACATGTTTGAGCGCCGAACATTGAAGCTCTCACTGCCTCAACGTTTTCAGGTGATCTGATGGGCCGATAGACTCCAGTGGCCCACGAAACAATTAATTTTCCGTCCGAGACAGGGCAGCACACTGAACACTGTACCAACGCATGATGGCGACTGAACTGCGTCGGGACAAAACTTTACAATCCCGCATTTTGAACTAATCCACTAGCGCACCCCTACGACATCAACCGACTTAATGGCCGCACCCTGAAGCTAGTTGTCACTCTCGACAAGAAAATAACAGAACCTCAGAATTAAGTTTGATCAACAAAATTCACCTATGTAGCAATTACCTACTCATGTGCCACGTGCTGTTTCCTAGACTAGAACAGAATCTTGCGTACAACCACTAATGCCCCGTGACATAACTCCAACGATACCCTGCACAAAGATCATGATACCTTACTTAACGAACTACATTAAACTACAGGCGTAGCGATGTTATTTTCAAGCGGAATCGAAAAACAGTACTCTGTTGCTAGAATACACAGTTGAGTAAGGTCGCAAGTGCACCTGACCGCGGCTGCACTGTGAATCAGATTCAATCGTGAAACTACACTGCATTTTTTTTCATAACATAAAACCTCAAAATTAATTTCATTCTTCAGTTTTAGCTTCTCCGAATCCTAATTAACGATTACCGAGACTCCCCTCCAACAGACGCACTTCATCTTTGCCCACCCCCTTCCTTTCTTTTTCCCTTCTTTCTACGTATGTTGTATTTGGGTACTAAGGCCAGACAAACCTACTGTTTTACAAGACTTCAATCAAGATCCTACATACCGCTCTGACAGACCATGATGAATATAATCAATGTTCACATGTCTGCCAAAGTACTATGGACATCTTGATAAAGGAATAAAAATATCATGAGACTGTAGATATTTGTTTGAATCTGCTGCGTCCATTTATCCATTCAGCTACTCGTATACAATTTTTGAAATGTTGTATTTATCGTTTTGTAAAATTTTGTCTAATGCTTATGATTGGATTGCTTACTTCAATAATAGACTGTTACACATTTTTCTTATTTTCAAGGAACTTGAATTATTGTATTGAATACGCTACTTGACTCATATCTACTTTCATAGAATAAATGAGTATTTCTTATGGTATTTGGTTTAGAAAAACGAAATATATCGATTTGAATTTTCAAAAGCGCAAAAGGGATATATAAGTCCAAGTTAAAAAATGTATATTTCTTATTATATATCTATATTATATCTACGTATATATACGGCATCCGTATGTCACTTGTGGACAAACGTTGTCTTCTTTAAGTGTTTTCGAAAAACTTCTAATCAACCTAAAAAATTATCCTTATGTCGCTTTATTGAAAGAAGTAATCACGGCCGTCCGGTTCGTGAAAGCAGAAAGTAAAAATTTGTCGAAAATTTATATATTTATGGTTGGATGTTTCTTTGCCTTCAATCTAGGTTTCTGCTCTGCTGAGCTGACGAACATCAATATTATGAAAGCATATGATACAATGATAGGCATAAAAAGAAAGAATACGTAATACACTTACATAATCTTCCTTTTCGGAAATTATTCAAAACTAAGCTCATGCGTCATAACCTCTGAATAATTGCAAATCGTACTGTGACGATGTCGTCGGTTAGGTCCAACTTCAACGAGACGATAAAATCTGCACTGAAAAATTTAAAATATCTCCCGAACGTGCTATGCTGCAAGCAGTACAGTGTGTTGTGTACTTATTTTCCTGGGCACTCTAATTAAACCGCTCCCAGACGATGTGGCGAATGCCTTACAACGTTGGACACATGGGCATTCGCCACATCGTGTGGGAGAGCGCTGACAGATTGCATGTGTTCAGCGTTCGCCACATGTCACGTTCGGGCTCTTGTCAGTAAATTTGACCCGCGTCAAAGGACGTTTCAACGTTGGAAGCATGGTTCGTTAGGCTCCCACACGGGATGTCAGGTGTTTGGTGGTTTTAGGTTATACCCAGTAGCGGCGAAAAACATTATTTACTTGTTTGCTGTGATTGTGGTGAAGTATTCTGATTTAAATACCTACCTATTCATGGATGTTAACTAACTTTTGAGGAGAGTAAATTAAATTAGTATACATACAAAGCATAGGCTGCCATAACAACACTTTTTTCATATTGCTAATATTTTGTACTTTTCGCAGGTGATTTATGGCTGGCCTAAGTATAGTATATGTATTTTAGTAAATTATAAATTATCAAGTGCTTACAGTTGTTTCATTATAATGTCCTTTTGCAATGCAATACTAGTTGAGAAATATATTGACTTGCATTTCATAACAGATTAAATAAATGATAACTTTGAAAGTACTATCAGGATTCTGATGAAATTTTGAGCTTAGGTTACTACTATGAAAATGACGAAAAGGCTCTGCATTTTTTGAAAATCGGTACAGTCGTCGAAAAACAAGCAAAAGTCTTAAATTTTTGTCGCTGAAGACAGGAGCGCGACACTGTCACCGATAATAGACGTTGGCACCTCCATGCGACGAACGTTCGAGACTAAAAAGTTCATCCCATCGTGTAGGAGACACACTTCCCAGTTGTGGGGTGTCGAATGTTGTAAACATCGTTGTATACCATATGTACCATAATTAATTACCATATTTTTCATGCAAACTATTAGAAGTCATGTTTATATGTTTAAAAGTTTGAGATGCTATTGTACTGCTGTCAGCTGCTGTTTACAAATGATATGACGTCAGAGCCCATCAATATATAGACCAAACATGGCGGACAGCGTTTACGCCTGTCGAAAAAATATATTTTTAAAGTTAGGCCTGAAAAAAATATTTTATTAGTTTTTTGGTTTAATAGGACAAATATTAACTATTTAAGGGTCATATCAACAGTCGTTAATACAATTATAGGACACCTTTAAGGTCTCCTGGATTGTCATAGTATTTTCTCTCCTTCACAAAGGCTGGGGTATTTCTATATTTTCACTGATCCGTGTCAGCGTCAATGCTATCTATTGCGAAGCTATGTTTCATTTTTGAAATGTAGGAATTTTTAGGCTGAAAATACAGATGATATAAATCAAAAGCATGAACAATATGATGCAAATGGATATTTGTGACATAATCTCAAAATACAGCGCTGACACGGAACTGTAGAAAACTATGAAAATCAAGGAGGTCATCAAGGCGTGCTACAATATTGTAGGAATGACTGACGATACGCCCTAAGACGTACTTAAAACAATCGCTAACTAGGTTAATGCGTTCAACGGTTTATTGACTGTCAGGTTTTCTCCAGTAGGTTGTTTGTTTCAGTGAACTACATAAACTCTTGGAAGCCAGTGGCAGTATTAAAAGGCGACACACCCCAAACCAAAGACTCCGAACAACGAACTACGTCATCGTCATCTAACAATGGAAATGTGATCAGCCCTCTGTCACAGACAGCACGATACATTAAACTGGGTACCATCTCACAGCCGAGGGATGTTCCATGGCACTAGCAGGCAATGTAAAATTTAATAATAAAACGTTAATATAATTATCTAAAATTACACTGTGAACATTTATTGGAGCAGGCGTCTCATCACTGGTCACAGCATTATTTTGTGTTTGAGGTATTTAAATGAGGCATACAAAAAATAATCCCTATTGCAATGCATATATGCTTAACCCTTTCACTGCGACGTACGTTTTTAGCAATGTATTACCGTGTGCGGCCGCCGCCAAGCTCATTGGCTCCGTACGTCTCCCGCAGCTTGGGCTAGCAGGTCCCGCGTGTTTCGATTACACAGTGGCGTAGGTATCGTTCAAATTAATTTAAATTTCCAACTTTATTATTATTTATTAGAACTAATTGATTTATGAAGTTACATAAAAACAAAATATATTCACAAAGCAAAAACAAAAATAACAACACTAAATTTTTTTCAAAGTATGATAATGTTCAAAACATGGCACCACGCAAAGAGCTACATCACATTTCAAACATCTATAAGTTGTTTCCCTACGCTTTCGTCGCTTAGAACACACCACACAACGTCTAGGTACAAGTTTATTTTGTTCATTGCGCTGTTCTGTTAGTGATGGAAAATGCCTTTCTGTTAGACGTAATGAAAAATCTTCATTTGCTCTCCCTGCTACAAGCCGAGGATGAGCTTTTTTGTGTTCATCTAATAGTTGCTTTACCAATTGCAATTGAAAATCTATTAGGGGCAACTTCTTTCCAGTCTTTAGTTGGTACAAGGCATGCGCATTTAGTATTGATATATCCAGTAAGTGGAAGAATATTTTTTTGTAACATTTTATGGATTTGCGAATTGTTTCTGTTGAGCTATAAAGCATATCGCATCGATCGACTGCTCCCATATTTTTATTGTATTCTAAAATACACACGGGTTTCGTGGCTTCAATTCCACGTTTGTTTTGAACAGGAACAACATCTGCTGTATGAAATGTCGTCAGCATCATAACATCCCGTTTATCCTTCCATTTCAATGCTAACAACGTATCCGTCGACGCATGTTGTAATTCACCACTATTTAGTTTTTTTTTTAGTGGAGGCATGTGAGATCTATTTGCTCTAACAGTCCCACATGCATTTATTTCATGTTGATGAAGTACCCGAAAAAGGGTTGGACTTGAATACCAATTGTCCAGAAATATATTATGCCCCTTGTACATGTATGGTTCTATGAGAGTTAAAACTATATTCGCTCCTTTACCAAGATTTCCCTCAAATTCCTGAATATTGGAATTAGATCCTGTATAGATAATGAAATCTAGTGTATATCCAGTTTTACAATCACATAAAATGAAAAACTTTATGCCAAATCGGTGACGTTTCGATGGAATATACTGCTTATAACCGATTCGTCCCTTGAACAACATCAAGCTCTCATCTATACAAAGATTTTGAAAAGGATGTAGACTTTTTGAAAAAGCAGCTTTTAGATGATCAACAACTGTTCTAATTTTGAAGAGACGATCGTTTGTATTCTTCTGTTCTTCATTATTAGCAAAATGAAGATTACGCAGAAGAAGTATATATCTATCACGTGAAATAATTTGACTAAATATTGGTGTAACAATTAGGGGATCGGTGGCCCAATAGTCGTTTATTTTTCGCTTCTTTGTATGAACCATCAATATTGTAACAGCCAGAAAGACGTATAGCTCATCACGACAAGTAGGCTTCCATTTGCTTTGACGAGAAGTACTTGGTGCAGTTTGAGACGTGTCATCAGCATAACGGTTTGTTTCAATTACTATGTGTTCTAACAATGCTTCAGAAAAAAATTGCTTGAAACACATGAGTGGAGTAGAATTCGGATCAAAAGTGTTTTTCAATTCCGATGTAGCAGGGTTATAGCGATGAATAATGGGTTCAAATGGCTGGTTGCTCCAGGAAAATGCTCCATCAAGTTTCGGTATTTCCTCTGGCGGACCATCGTCTGAAATTTTGTCTCTATTTTTCACTAATAAATAACAATGTATTTTACTACCTTCCAAATCGCTCTCCGTTTCATCTACCTCGTCCTCATTACTGGTAGGCACCTCATTTTCATCTATGTCTGATGTTTCTTCATCACTATTCATCAATATTTCCAGCAGTTCCTCATCAGTGTAGTACTGAGGTCCACGTCTTTCAGTCATTATCTATGAATTGAATGATTTTTTTGTATATTCTTTCTACATACCTGCGTAGATTTTAGTTCGCCAACCACAAATTCGAATCTATTTTTTTTGTCACGTTCGCCTTCCGATATATAAATCAACAACGTTCACTCATATGTTAAGATTAAATTTCCGGAAATTTCTAAACTACTCTACAAAACGTGATCGAAAAAAATTAACTCCACATGTGGGATTGGCGTGGCGCTCAAAAATCAATAACAATTTACCGAAAATAAATCAAATCAACCACACTTGCATAAATAAATGATAATATAATTACCTTTTGTTTATAGTATCCCACAACAAACACTAACTACACACTAACCAAGTGGAAAACAATAACCTAATATCACCTCATACGCCACTGACAGGTTTCTAAGAATTTAAACGTGTTCGGACGGTTCCCGCAGTTAAGGCATATTAAATCTGCCTGACATCTTACCTCATCTAACGGCCGGGGGATCCATTAACTCAGATACCTATACCTACTATCAAACGTAAACGTTCGGGCCCCGCAGCTAACCCTTTCGGAAACCTTCGCGTTTATAAACGGTTCCCGCACCTCAATTGCCACGTTCTGTTGCGGCCCAGGACGGTTGCCGCAGTGAAAGGGTTAAAGGTAATTGACAGTCATTTACATCAAGCTTAGTTGCTCATTGGCTTTTATAAGTTGAACAATTAGAAAATTGAAAAAGCAGTCCAATAAGTATGAAGGTGAATTTTCTAATAAAGTAGGTATGTATTTTCTTTACTTAAGGAATTATCAATAGTTCAGAGAATTCTATAACTTTCAAATACATTGGCTCGTCTAAAAATTGTTTTATACACGGCGAAAGATTGTTCACAACTCTGTCATAGCTGCTGTGGAAACCTATACTTTTTTACAATATACGTTGTTTCTTAGAAGTTCCTGAATCGTTTTTCATTTCAGAGTACCTTCTGGTGATGTTGAAAATGAATAAATAAATTCAATGTGTCGACGAGGAATTAATTCTGCTTATAACCGCAGCCAGTTGCACACAAATTTTAATCTTCGCTTAGTCACATCGAGGCAACGACTCCAATTTATAGAAATTAAAGGTTTTTATATTGTTTATACTTACCATATAGGTGTTTACAAGCTGATGGTATGAAACTTCAGCGGATTTAAAACGGCACCTAAACATTTGAAAAAATTCCACAATCTCAATTTTGAAATTCTTGGCTTCGTTGATTAGCCTATAGTTGTTGTACCGATACCCATATTATTTCATTTTATAAAGGATAATAAAAGTAGAAATGCTTAATAAACTGGACGTATTAAATTTGGATAACATTAAATCAAACCTGGAGACTGGTATTTTTTACAGTAGCAACCTGATACAAACTAGGGAATAAAAGCAAAATGAATTATATTTTTTTAAATAACATTAGGAATGCACTAAATTCTAAAACGGAATCATTTTTTGATATTTACGCTAACTGCGCCATTTTCGAACTGTGTAAGTTACAGTAAAAAATGGGGTCAAGTAGATTGACTCTATACTTCCTATGTATTTGTTGGATGAGTCAAATCGTTTCAAAAGGCGAACTTGAATCGTGATTACGTAGGTTCACTTAGGTATGATGAATCTTCGACTTCTACATATCTAACTTTGTAAACCAAATCTATCATATTTTTGTTTCCATGGCAGATGTAGGGAAAATATGTGTGACTTATTATGTGGAAAAGGTGGATAATATCACTGAGATCTGCAGCTTTATTATTAATAGAAGACTGACACAAAATATGCAACAATTTAAAACCATACAGCATACAGCTTCCAACCTACAATTTTCATCTCCTCCAAACAATTTTTCGAAAATCAGCCGGAATCTTTTAAACGCTGCAACACTATGTTCCAGCGATTTTATTTCCGCCGCCTCTAAATCAATTTTCAAAATCTCTACCCATATTCAAACGATGTATTAAACTCGCGATAATGTTCGAACTGCAGTTCACAAGTTTTCTGTTGCTTAAAGATATCTGCATCACACAAGTCCGTGTTTCTCATTTATGTCGGTTTGTCAGTCCGTGGCTGTTGTATATCAATGCGTCATAAGTGCTGAGTCAATCGAGTTGATGATATATTCAGAGAACCATCATAGACGCAGTAACACAAATTACACGCATATGTGTATGTACAGTGAAATCTCCTTTGGACAGACACCAACGGGGCCGACTGAAAGTGTCCGAAAAGGAACTACAGCAAAAATCGTGTTTTTAATGAAACTGGACATTTAAACGTGTATGTATATAAATGTTTTTAAGATAAACAAAGAACTTCAAACTTAAGAAAAAAAAAGGTTTGTTATACATCTGTATAATATGTATGTACATATGTATGTATGTACATGCATTATGTGTAGTATCACAAAACAATGAAACAAAAAGACACTTTAAGGATACAAAAATTCATTTGTCTACCCTTTTTCTTTAAAATGGCGTCTTGAAATCGTATTTCTAATTTAGAAAGAAGGTCCAAAGACTCTGTTTCTCCCCGATTTTCTAATGCTTGGTCAGTGTAATAGCTTTACCATAATTTGGAATAGCTTCTGTTATTACTGGAACCACATCGAAAACATAATGTTCGGAAAGTTCTTGTCTTTCAACTGAATTTTCAGTTTCTTGGCCTGAATGTGGATCTTCAAGTTACAAACTTTCATGTAAGTTCAAAAAATCATAGAGGTTTTCATTATCCGTCAATTTCAATAAGTTCTTATTTTTGGGAATATTTGAAAGAACATTAAGTGGTAAGTCATCTTCTGAGTCAGGTGTATCAACCTCATTTTACTGGTCTTCATTTTGAATATTTTCATGCTTAAATGCTGCTTTGCACTGTTTCTTTAGTAACTTGGTCAAAAGCGGTTTTTGCCAAATAAACTGCATCCAATGATGTAATTTTCTTTAGTAACTCAAAAGCTGTACTAGCAGTTTCAATGTTTACTAGTAGGAGTTTTCGTAATAAATTTCAGTAATAAGTTTTAAACTATTTATAATCCCTTGCTCAAGTGGTTGACAAGCTGATGTACAATTAGAGGACAAAAATAAGATTTTTGTGTTATTTAAGCGAATGTATTTTGGATGAGATCCCGCTTTGTCTAAAAATAAAAAAAATATCCGACGTAATTGACGGGTTCTCCTCTTCATCCCACAACGACGCCTCGGGTGTTCACCAGTGATCGGTCTTGGCTCCAACACTGTTCCCTTCACATATCAACATCCTTTCCTGCACGATCAGCCCAATCTAAAGCTTTGCTGATGACAGCACTCTACGTGCAGGGATTCAGAGCGACAAGCCGGTCTCAGCTGGTGAGATGTAAAAACAGGACTAGCTGCGACTTCCCCTCTGACGAGAGACTTGGATGTTATCACTGCTTGGGGACGCAACAATCTTGTACAGTTTAATGCTTCCAAAACAGTCAGTCACTCTTTACAAGGTCCAGATAACACCTAGCCTCTAGTATTGCTCACACGTTTGGGGTGCTGCCGCCCTGACTACATTATTTATGCTCGATGCTGTCCAGTGGAGGGCTGTCCGACTGATCGATAACTCGTCTCTAACAGGCAGTCTCGGGGCCCTTTCGCACCGGCGGGCCGTCGGCGATCTAGCTCTCTTCTACCGCTACACCCACGGGCTCTGCTCCTCAGAGCTCTCCTCCATGATGCCGCCGCGCGATGTGCCTGCCAGACAGACCTGCCTGACTTTGGCCTCCTATCCTAACCGTGTCGAACTTCATACGTCCAGAACTGGCTGATACGCCCGCTCTTTTGTCCCGAGGGTATCGTGATTGTGGAACAATTTACAAGAGGAATCTTTTCCCAGTTCTACTAACCTTAGACAGTTAAAAAATCGGATTAACAAAGCCGCGGTGCCCTAGCATTCAGGCTTCTGCCTGCGCGGCTGCTTCGGAGTAAAAAAAAAGAGATAGAAGCACCACGTTGCCTGGCAATGCAAGTGATGAGGCCAAGGACGCCGATACAGCGTGTCGCGTTGCCATCGGCGCAGTCTTTCTAACATACATATTGCACGCTCCTCGCGCTTCACTCTCGCACGTTTTATCTCGTCAGCGATATTTGGATTCTCGTGTATATGTTCTCTGTTCATGGTGAAGGTACTCAACAGGATGCATGGTTCTTTATGTTAATTTGCCCGGCTTAAGTAAATCCAAAAATCCTCTTAATGAGATCACCTACTATGAGGTTCATACTTGTTATCATAATGAAATACAGCCCTTACTTTCCTGTGTGTTTATTTACAATTATAAGTTACATGTTGAATCCTATACACTTTTACATTGTCCCCTTATATTTAGCTTCTGAGCCAAGGTAACTGAAACAAAACAAAAGATATATTTTCCAACAATTTATCAACAGAAATATGCAAAGCCGTTTGTGTGTTTATAGATTTGGATTTATATAACCGATGATATGAACCCGTGGGTTTTTAAATCTTAACAGCCTTCGGTTGCTTGTTAGTTATTTCTTTTTCATTTGATTCGTTGGTCGTTTTCCTAGGTATCAGAAGGAGCTTGAGTTCACTTAAAGACGATTGAATATAGCGCACGAACCAAAACTCCGTGTAACTTAGATTTGTTAAGACAACAGAAGTCCAAAATTGATCTTTTGGAATATCCACCTTGTCTCGAAAATATCAAAGAACGGTACCTATACAGAATTTTGACGTACTATACATATATTTCTGAACAACAGAAAATACTCTTACGTTGTGCAGTTTGTCCGGTACATTATTGGATATGTATTCAGCGATCGATCTGGCAATAGGGTCGTAGATGGGAGCCTTCCTCTGTTTCTGTGGAGCTGAAAAGAAATGATTATAGTTGGAATATGTCACCGAATCGACAGGCATGCGAGGTGATCCGTTTATCCTAATATAATGACGGTGATCCAAATTTATTTCCATTCCAAGTATTAGTCTAATCATATATAAAGTCTGGTTTTAAGTTGTTCAAGTGGTATTTTAAACATGGGCGCCTAAAATGGGTACACCAATTTTTGTGGGAAAACTTTTTATCCGACAACAAAAAATGAGAAAACGTGTTTTTCGGGATTCAATCGAAAGTGTTGGGGGGAACGAAAAAACTCTCCAAATAAGATTTTTAGGTATTTATGAGACCACACGTAAAAAGATCTGTTTAATAGTAAAGAAGTTATGGCCGAAAAACGAGACAAAATGCAGGTTTTGGCACTTGCTGCTAAAGCGACGATAATTTCACGCAGCTACTTGAAATTCTTAATATCCATAGGCTTCATACTTCTAAGTAACCACTATTTTATAGCAAAATACACGAGTTTACCTTGCCGACATAAATCACAAACCATCCGAAAGATAATTGTTGCTTTAATGCAAAAAACGAAGGGTTACGTTTTTTTTTCTTCTAAACAAATTCAAATATTTCGTATTTGCTTATAATTGAACAGATTCGCTACGATATTAAAAAACATACGATATTATACACGTCTTAAAACAAAGCGGACGTGTCCATCACCTTTTGTTGCAAAGAAAACTATTTTTTTTTTTTCATACTCTTGGGTATATATTTATATTTAGAACTGAAATGCGCTGAACTGTTTATAAAGTTATTACGCAAAGAGAAGACACAATTATGTTTCAAACTGTCTTAGACTAGTTAGTATCTAGCATGTGCTGAGTGGGTGCATTATTGAAGATTGCATGACTTTGTCAAATAACTAAGTCACGTAATCCAGTTTCTTTACGAAGAAATATAATTCCCTGGACCTTTTTTCTAAAAGTTTAAGTATAGTATACGTCTGTTTTCGAAATCTCGTACGATTAAAACGACTGCGAGTTCAAAATATTCGAAAATAAACTCGAGAAAACGAAAAAACAATAGACAAATATCAACCGACTGTAGCGAGCTGACCATCTTCAAAATTAGGCAAAATGCTCGGTATTAGTCCCTAATACATTATTTAAAGTTTCATTCATTATATCTTGTAGAGTTTTCAAGGGTATTCTAATTGTTTATAACATATTTGATATGCCTTCAACGTTCGCTTGAAATTTCTCAGTATCAAGTGTAGCGGTAATAAAATCCAGTAAACCAAGAGGCGTCGTAGCGTCTATTTGAAATCACTTAGACCTAAAACTAATAGAACATCTGAACAAATAAACAATGTGCGTATAAATGCGCGAAGTTAACAAAGCAACAATTGAAAGATTACCATTGGGTAACATCACCTTTATTTTTTATTACGGCTGAAATTCTTAGGGGCATAGTGTTAACCAAGTTTTGGCAAAAATGTGGTTTAAAACAATCCCATATTTCTTGAAGCTTTTGTCTCAGTTCGGTGATTGTACGAGCAGGATGTTGTCGTAGAACCTTTTTCATCTCGTGGCACAAAGTTTCAATAGGCGACAGATCTGGACTGCTAGAAACCCATTTCAAAAGTGGTACATTATTTTCTTCCATCCATTTTATAGCCTGTTTTGAGGTATGGCACGCTGCACCATCTTGCTGAAGCACAAAATCTTGGCCGGATGTCAAACATTCTTCCATCACTGGTAAAAGCGATTCTTCTAAAATTGCCAAATATTTGTTTGTATCCACATTTTCATCAATAAAATGAAGTTTTCCTACTCCTTTTGATGACATACTGCCCCAGGCCATAATGGATGCTGGAAATTTCACTTTTCTCTTCAGACAGTCAACATGGAATGCTTCATTTTTTTGCGAATAACTCTACTGCGACTGTCATCAACACAAACTTCGAATCGGGCCTCATCACTCCATTGTATTGCACACCATTGTTAAGGTGTCCATTGTCTATGTTCTTTAGCCCATCTAAGCCGATTTTTCTTTTGCAGTGGAGTTAATAGTGGCTTTTCTTTGGCCTATAAACAAGTTGTGCAACTTTAGGGTTTTTACTTAAATTTTTTTATAAGAAAACTTACCTTGCAAGTGCTAAATTTCAGTTTGTGGGCCTCTCTATGAGTTATGGACCTCGAAATTCTCCTTCCAACAGCGTCACTCCACAGAGCACTTAATTGTAAATAATTGGCACGCCTGTTTTTCACGATTATTCTTCTTAATGCTCTTCGGTCGGCATATTTGATATTACTTTTTTTCACATATCGTGGCTTAATATTAACTGAACCAGCTACGTTATATCTTCTAACAATATTTCTCACACTGTACCGCGATAAGTCTAACAAAGTTGCAATTTCTGAGTTTGATTTCCCAGAATTAAAAAATGTATTTATCAGTAACCGAATTTTTTCACTAATAACCTTTCCTCTACCCATTTTGAAAACCTTAACTACCCAAAACTATTTTAAACGTATTCTGACAGCTGTGATTAATAAAAAAAATTGTCATGGCTTTTACTTTTCACGGCCACCTATGCGCTATAGACTTATTTTGCATTGAAATCAAAATAGGTTGATATGCTGTAATTGCAACATGTGTTATTTTTATGCTGCACATTTGATTAGGGAGTGACAAAGTTGGTGTTTTCTACTATATATTATCAAAATATTCATTGTTAATATTTTAAACCTATAACATCCTGGTACATTTTTATTATTTGTGTTTGATAAGAAAAAACTAAGATTTCAATAGCTGGGCCAACTGAAGTGGGAAGGGGCACGAGCCGAATATACAGCGTGACAACCGGAAATCGAACGTTGTTAGAACGAATAGTACGAAGCTTGAGGAGATTATATTGTGGTCTTATTGGCCAGACAAGCATGTGGGCATTTACAATTTTTAGAGAACAAGTTGCAACTTTCCATACGAGCGAATGACGTGAGCACCCATGCAGTAAATATAAATTTTCGCTGATTGGAACGCCATGTCTGTATCAAGCTGAGGACTCTTCACCTTATCCATGCTAACAAAGATCCTTTCTTCCCTAGTGGTTAAGCAAAACGATATAATATTTATGTACCCCTGAATATGGTCTTATGTAATTTATATCTCATAAAACTACGAACTGTAACCAATTTTGACCTAAAAATAAACATCGTTGAAGAAATGTCAATATGTTAATATGTACCTGTAAGTATACGATTCATATCACCATATGCCAAGTGTGATTTTTCCCAATTTTCAACTTCAATTTTCTTCATCCGTGACGTGCATGTTGTTGTTTTTGGCTTAATTTGGTTTCTAAAATAAAGTAGAAAGATAATAGTTTATCAGAATGATGGTTAGCTGTCGATATACTGGTGTCGCTGCCAATAAATATGGTAAGAATGAGAGCAGTGACATTGACCCTCGGCACAAATCAGGTGCGTCAATGAAACCTGAGATTTCAACGAAGCTCCACGGGGTACTCAGGCCGTTATTTAGGCCAAGCTTTCGTTGGCATCTTAAGTATGAGTAATATTAGGTGAGTGGTCTTTCTATTGAGAGCAGATAGAAATCAGTAAAAAACAATAAATAAGTGAATACAGTAGATACGAGAGAAGTAAAGCATATCTTGATTCTCGTTATATCATGTAGCAGCCCCCGAAACTGTAGGATGGTGGCTATTTGATGTTCAAATCCTGTGGTATATAGCCAGACAGCAAATAGGGCGGTTTTCACACACGATAAAGACATATTTATTTTCTTCGTCTAAAGATGGTCCACCCTCGGTGCATCGAATTTCAAAAACTAGCATACTGCTCCCAATTTATGAATTTCGGTATAACTATAGGTGATAATAAAACTACAAACGACTGATCATCTGATAATGAACTGAGAGTCATACATACTCTTACGGAGACTGAAAAAAATTAGCATTCACGCAAGTGATGTAAACAAAAAAATGATATCTGAAATTCAAAAATTTTCCTCATCACAGTCATATATGTTATAAGTGGGAAGTAAAACAGAAATAGTTAAAAGCTTACCCTTGGAGTTTAATTGCTGAATTCATCATAGAATAGAAGTGATCCTTCGGAACAGTGATCTTCTTGTGATCAGATTTGCATCGGGCGCTATCACTGGCATTACGAAGTTGCTGACTAGGAGGTGTCGAACAGACTTTTTGGCTGATGGCAGTAGGGCGGCTTTTTTGGTTACTGGTAACCGGGCGAGATTGATGCGTAATGTTCTGTGATTCCCTGAAACCAAGTTTAATACTTCTTACACCTGACGTCATATAAAGTCTACTGTAGTAAACCAATAATATGAGTTCGTTTCCAAAGTTAAGAATGAAATGCTTGATACCTTCACATGGTTGAACAGCTTTCAGAGGTTGTCAGTTATATGCAAAACTATTCTGAAATATATTTTCATACTTTTTACAATATGTCAAAGACAAGAATCATTATTAAAAATCAATCTTTCCACATACAAATGTGAATGTCTGTTCAGTCGGTTAGTATCACGTATGAACCATAATACGGAGAGACGTAAAAATTTGCATACATGATTATATCCTAGGAGGATTACACGCATGATTTGGTCCGCGAACTCATCGTCGATTTTGCAGTAAACTGTACAAAAAGCTCCTGCAAGACACACCCGCCTGACTTTGGCTTCCCATCCCAACCGTGTCGAACTTCGTACATCCAGAACTGGTCAATAGGACCGCTCCTTTGTCCCGACGGTGTCGAGATTTTGGAACAATCTACAAGAGGAAGCTTTTCCTAGTTCTACTATCCTTAGACTTCTGCCTGCGCGGCTGCTTTGGTATAAAAAAGACCTGCATTCGGACTGTCAAACTTGTGTTAGCTTTTGTTTGATACGAGTCATTTTTTTCATAAGCAATATTTTTATAGTTTTCAACCAAGTATTATATTTCACTGGTGTTGTGAAAAACCAGTAAAACTCAAAAAGCATGATGTTAAAACCTTTTACATAAGGTAGGACCATTCAATACAAGGTAGGAAATAATTCATTAGCAGATATCAATTTCCGCCTTCTTTGCAAAAATTTTGTACGTGATAGATTAGACGAATATGTAAAAAAGATACTATGATAGGCTTCAGATAATCAAAAATGACGTTAAGTAGTTAAGCACTTCCTACGCAACGCTGTCATCGGGTTCATAGACATCGTTTCCCTGCCCTACTGGTAGTTATAGTCCATCTGGCAACGTTCCCCTTCCCATATCTTGAGTTTTGAAGGCAAATGATCTGTGAAATATATGGGTAATATGTGCGTAGAATTACCTGGGCTAGTGTATAAATATACTAACATCTAAAAGTTGAGATATATCTTCCCCCACCCTTTACAACCACCAACCCTTAATTTTTTACCCCTACAAAAATTATTCTACAAATGGTCAGGAGCTTCTGAAACGTCAAAAAAAAAACGAAGTTGATGCTATTTTTATTTTTTCGTGTTTTTACCCCTAGCTCCGCCGGCATTGAATCGATTTTGAACAACTACAAAGTTTTTTCGTTATTGACATAGTAGTAACCTCGTGTGAAAATTTTATCAAAATCCGAACTGTACTGTCATATAACACCCAAAAATTTTTTTTTCGTGATTGCAATACTTCGCTCAGTGGCGTAGGAAGCAAAAAAGCAATTTGTCGTTGATCTCAAATATGACTTAAGAATGACATTAGAGGTCATTTGGAGCTCAAGTTGATTGTTGACAACAGACTCGTTTCGAGCTCGAAAGTCCATATCAGAATGCATTTTCATACATGAGGTCACGCGGTCTTAAGTAGTTAGATCAGTATGACCTACTGTAACATCTAAAATGTACACAGGTCAACATTTTCTCAAAACCTTCTTGCAAAAAAATGCGTGGTTGCTAATTTTTCGAGGTGTATTTAACTTGACCTCATGTACGAAAATGTAGTCTGAATTATAATCTCGACCTCTACACGAATCTGCTGACAAAAATTGTGGTTGTCGCTTAAATTTACAAACTTGACGTGCAGATGACCTCATTTTTCGGTATCCTGGAACTTGTCTTGGAACCTTTACTTAAAAAAAGCGTGGTTGCCAAGTCTTGGTGTGGGATGTTCGGGTATTTAGTAGACACTGTATATCTAACCTTATTATATCATGCTATTGAAAAATGCATGCTTGCAATTCGCAGAGCAGTAAACTAAGTACTTTGAAATAACCTTACAGCAAATGCTATAGGTTTAATATTTATTCGATAGAAATAACAACAATATTATCAGAATATTGCTTAGTTTTCATACGCTTACGAACCACCGTGGAAGTCATAATTTTACTACACAAATATGACTGATCCTAGCAAGCAATTTCAAAATCTGACCATGAGTTTAATTTATAATTTTATTTTCAAGAAAATTCCAACATGCACCTACCTGGGTTTTTGAACGGAAGTTGATTTGACTCTAGAATGTAATGTTATGATTCTAGGTTCCTGAGGATCCCCAACACCTTTTTTTGGTGGTGTATATTTTGTTGATGGAACTTCTATTTGCGTTGTCTCCCTTTCCGATGTTTTAGCAACAACTTTCGTAGGAGAATAAGGTCGATGCGTCTTTGGGGTTATAGTTGCTGAGTATGCTTTCCTTCTTAGCGTTGGGTCCTTGATATTTCTGTTCATATGTAAATAAAATGCCATGTTTTTGCGAAATCATATTAGACATACTTTGTATAAAGCCGCGTACAGACCGAAAATCCAACGCCGAGCAAACGAATGCAAGCACATGTGACGTGGCGCTTGTTTTGTTGGGAGGTATTGGAATGTGCTCGTCTACACCTACATTTAGTTTCGAGTTGGACCGCGTTGGGTTAAGTTCGGTGCTAATGTCGAGCGACTAAATCCCAGAAGCGCAACAAATCCTGTCCAGACCAAATCAAACCTCCATTTGCTGTACCTATCAAGGAGCGAACGCAATCGAACGGCAACGCCGACATTGCAAACCGTTGCTTTATGTTGGCTCGCGCCCTACACACCGATTCGAACACCTCCAAATCTGTAACCACATGTGCCTTGGCTTGCGTTGGAATCTCGGTCTGTACGCGGCTTACCATATCATTTGTGTTTGACAGTTTTGTCTGTTATTTGAGGTAGCTGAAAATGGGTTTGTTCAGATATGTTCTGATTTGAAAAGCCAGAAAAATATAGTGAATACCCTGCACTCAGAAGAAAAATATGAAAAAAAAGTCGTGTACTGTCCAAATTATAGGCCTTAAAAAATCGCAATTATCCGAAAACTCTACATCCTGCGATGATCTTTTAGATCCCATTACTACAAATTTCAATTAAATTTTTTCTTAGACGGAGTGACGGACAGTGTCATTTTACGTAGTGACTGCAAGACAGATAGTAACGCCAGCATTCGTGAATGTATCTATTAAAAGCTCAATCTGTTTTCCTTAAAAATGATTGGGTTATCAGACAGGCGAATCTTCCGTTATTAAAAAATTCAGCTGCTTCCGTAGCTCAGCTAAATTTTCAATTGGGTTTGAATGAAGTTTTACTTTCACCGCTCCCCAGCCAAAAAATCGACCGCATTTAAGTAGGGTGAACGGGCTGGCCACGAAATTGTGACAGACCGTTCTATCCATCTTCCGCAGCGATATATTGTCTACGTCTAACGATAAAGCCTAGCTGCAGCATTATCATTGCATCTACGTTCTCGATAAATATGCTGCTTGTTGGCGTATTCTTGTAGGATGTACACAATCATGGTGGAACTACACCGCCATGAATTAATAAAAGTGACGTTACTATCTGTCTTGCTGTCACGTCTAAAAAAATATAAATTTGTAGTAATGGGAACTAAAAGATCATTACAAGGTGTAGATTTTTCCGATTTTACATTTTCTTATAATATATAATATAATTTGAAAAGTACACGACTAAGATTTTTTCATTCTTTTCGGACAACTATTATGATTTGGCCTATCCCCCGTTTCCGGCTTGACGTCGAATTCTGGAACAACCTGTATAAAAAAGCAAAAACGTGTACAAATGGGGTATAGCCGAATCAGCAACGAAAAACCTTTGAATTCAATTTTTTAGTGAACGTTTATACTATTAGGGGATTAGGGGAAGGAGAAAATTACACATTTTAGTGGCTTTTCAGGGCTTGTCAACGGTTGCATACAATACAAAACGTATCACATCATGATTTCACGTCAGTTTCGGCTACCATAGAAGAATAAAGACCAATGTGAACGGAAGGACTCCAGCATACCTGTAATCTATGAGTGGAGTAATTTTTGGCTCGTGATAAACTTGCCTATAATCGTAAATACTCTGAGTATTGACCATTTCTTTGGATTGTAGTGGTGCTTCAGTCATTTTGAGCCTTCGGCTAATCGGTGTCTTCCTAGTCGTGGCTATTGGACAGGTATCAGGTCGTACTGTCTCTGGTATGGTCACCTGTTCACTAGGTACTGAAAGACGCGGTGTGCAGTACTCCATCCTGTAATCCAATAGATCAGTGTAATTAATAGAATGGGGTATCTCAACGGAATATCTATATTTTGGCATTCGTGCTATCGTAGCTCTATCATCTCCATACTTGTGAGATACGATATTTTGGTCTGCTTTTATCCGTTGTTCTACCTGAACCGAGCTGATGCTTGGCAAGAAACATGAAACGGCACCGTACATGGTTGCTTGAACGGACGAAACAAGTATTTGTGAATTTGTGATATTTTGCCTCCAAATAGTATATAGGATGTCCTCAAAGTTGGGAGTTTCCTTTACAAAGCGTAAAGTTCAGGCAATAATAATCAGTTTTTTTGTAACATGTTTACCAAAGCTTTAAGATAACAGAGATATCAGGGTCCAAAAAGCAATAAACGAGCCAGTATGGCTCTGCCACTCTCCCCTCCCACTCTCCCCTCCCACAATCCTCTCCTACGTCAAAACATATGATGTTGTACTAAGACAATGTGAGTCAATATCCAAATTAAGCGTTGCGTGGTGTCTGGGTTAACCTAGTTTATAACCAAACCGCATTTGAAAATCCAACCGGCACATTCCTGGATCAATAACGTAGTAGTTATCGATTTGATATGAGCATCATAAAGGTCCTATTGATACTCCGCGAGTGTACCCAAAACGTTGCCGTCATTCTCAATGTTCCTTTCCATCAGTGCTGTTGTATATGTTTGTTTATACCGTGCAAAAGCCGTCCGGCTGAACACAGTTAAAGACCTAGTGAGTCCAGAATGTTGTAAATTCAGGAATATGTCTTCAAGCAGTGTTCATGCAAGCAAAACATGTGACAGGGCAGTACTTGAAAGTCCTTATCAAATGAACAGTGAGTATTCTTCTTCAATTTTTTGTTTACGGTTTCGGTGTTGTTTTTCTGCAAATTAGCTTTGGTATTTCAAACGTAATTGACTCTCAAAGGGAAAGTCCCAATTGTTAGGATACCCTGTATTTTGAATGATAAAAAATTTCTCCTACAACAGAGATGTGGCAAGATTTCACCTTCATAGTTTTTTTACATCGTGTTCGTAGAATTTTACCCCACGTGATGATAATTCTGTTATGGAGGTTGAGCTTCCATCATATTTCAGGTAAATAATCTTTAACTTTATCAGTTTTCTGTTGGTATACAGAATAATCATCAATTTATTATTAGCTGATTCCTTCGGCGGAAAATATAGAGGGTATAATTGAGGTCTCGTTCAATTTACGAATCTTTTCTGCATTAATTCCATCAAAAGAAAATGAAGGTAAAGAGCGTCATTATTGGAAAATAGATGTAAATAATCTATTGCTATTCAAACTCTACTGACGGTCGTTTTTCAAAACTTAGCATTGTTTTCTTGTAGGTAGATGAACTCTACTAAAAAATACCTCTTGAAGTTCCCAAATTTGGCCTGAAAAACAAGGTTGAAATCGCTTTGAAATAAAATAGTCTCAAAATACCCTTCAAGGTCTTGAAGAGCGAGGTTTTAAATTGAATTTAGATGCTTGACGACCTCAAAAATTATAATTTTTAAACGAACATTTAAGCATTGAGTATACCCGTACGGTAACCGTGATGAAATTTGTTTAAACATTTTCTCTTAAATAAATCATATACAAATTTTTTCCAGGTTTTTTGTGTCATTCCGAACACAGAAGATTTCTATTAACTTTTCTCTAAAGCTGACCATTTTCAAGTAATAGACGGTTTAATGTCTGAAAAGCCCTGAAAATGGGTATATTCAATGCTTGAAAACTCGGTTAAAAATTATAATTTTTCAAGTCGCCAAGTAATATTGAAAATAATAATGTTAATTGATTAAAATACAAAATGTAATATTAATAATACTTGAAAATATACAAAAAAATGGAATACCCAAAAAGGTATGAACTTATTGGGCTTAAGATATTATTAAATCAAACTTGGAATGTTTTAAAATACAAAAGACTTTATGTTTTGTTCAAATGTATAATTTTCATATTTTTAGTGATAATAATAATTTAGTCACAGGACGTACTGATTTTGGATGTCTATGAGTTTATGTATAAATAGTCATAGCGATTTTAATTCAATTTTGGTACGTTTTTTGATGTGTTTTAAATTTGGTGGAATAATATTATAAAACTTTGGGTCTAGAAAATAAAATGATCGCTGACTTAAAGTTTTATTTACTCTGAGTATAGTTGCTGATGTGGTTTTGAATTGTGTTTGATGATTGTGATACTGTAATAAATTTGTAAGTTTAAATAAATATATGATTGTATTGTAGAAATAAAGTTGCCTGTGGTCCAAAATTTGTGATTCACTATAAAGATTTTCCGTTGGATATAATTTATGTTTGTTAAACATAATCTATAGAGCAATTTCCATCTTTTCAAAATAATGATTCATGACTTCACCCCATGCCAAGATTCCATTAGAAATAAGGGGGACAAATCATGTATAGATATTTTACATGTGGAAAACTGCTGAAATATTTAATAATAATAATGCCAGGTCTTTATTTACACAGTACAGTGTTGCACAGGTAAAAAGGCGAAGTGTCAACATAGCTGTTTTTATACTTAATTTTTGGAAAAAGGTATCTTGATTCAAGTTTTCAACATGTACTCGTATATTCCATTTTAAATTATTATCCATAATTATTCCTAAGTACTTGATATTGCTTGCTAATTGTATAATTTGTAGCCATCTGGTGTTTGAATTTGGAATTTATGAAAGGGTGAAGAAGATCTCTTATCGGACGAAACCGTTATGAAGAATGTTTTTGTTTATTATCATTAATTGTCAAAATTGGTTCCGTGAAGAAATTCATTATTTTTTGGAAATCCAATTCGATTTTGTTCTTGAAAGAATCCCAATTATTATCTGAATACATAATCGCCGTGTGATCTGCATAACCAATAATTTTTCCATCACGATTTAATTTGAAGAGATCATTAACATATATATTATATATACTGGCCCTAACACAGGTCCTTGTGGAACTCCATACCTAATTGCAACGTATTGACTTAGTGAGTTATTGATAGTAACACATTGCATTCTATTTTTGAATAACTGTCCATAAGATTATAAGTTCTTCCTCGAAATCCCAAATTTTCTAAGGTAGTTAGGAGTTTTCCATGAGTGATGCTATGAAAAGTTTTGGCTAAATCTATAAAAATGCAGGCTGATGGTGTATTGTTATCTAAATTAAATTTTGAACCTTGCTTTCAAGACAGCGATGAGTATTTTGAGATTAATTAAGTCTGCACATGCAATTTGATTTATTTTCTTCTAGCTGTGGAAAGAAAAAGATGAATTATAAAAATATACCTTTTATATGCATATGAATGCGTATACGGCCTCTCTGATCCCCGTCTGGACCCTGGTCTTTCCGTGTATATCTTTAGAGTTTCCTTCTCTTTAGCCTTTTTGTTGGCCTCCAGTTCCATCAACGACAAAGCAGGTACCTTCTTCACAACACCGTCCCCACGCAACTGGTTCAGCTGAAATCTGTGCAGCAGTATATTGTAGATACCCCCAATTTTTCCGAGAGGTTCTTCTTGTACTGCCTTCAGTGCTATGTCTATATCTGTTTGGGCTATATTGGCAATCTGCGAGATCATCTAACAAAATATGCAGAAACTATTAGATGGAAAGTGAAAATGTGACTGGGAACCACTTCAAGTATTCCGCAAGCGCTAAAGAGGGGTCTTTGCCTAGCTTATTTTGAATACATTTGGGTTGGGGGAGGGGGTGTAGATGGTGCTTACGTACTTACGCAAATATGGATATGCTTACTCGCTTATAACCTTAGCTATAAATGCTCCTGGTAGAAATGCACATGACCAAGTAGAGAGGAATGGCTCCTCTTGGTCGAAAAAAGGCTGGTTTGATACTCTTACTACCATTTTGGATCTCATTTGGTTACAGTTAATGAACATATCGAAAGATCTAATTTCTAGTTTCGCAGAAATGTATTGATGGTCATCATGTTACTGCAAAGGGGCAAGCCAAATCTGTTTACGTGATACTTGAACGGTCCCCTGGCTAATATATTTCTAATAACGAATAACCATGTGCGAAAGGTGTTATCTAGTCAGGTTCAAAATATTTCATTTTCAACTCGATGTCATTGATTTTTTCGGCAGACGGTAGGTACACGCATTGGGTTTAATATGTAGATATGAGTTCATGATTGTAGCAACGGTTTGACTTGTTTTAGAGGATAAATCAAAATGATGTTTCATTACCCCAACTTTGAGTCACTTTGAGGTGTGACTCCAGTTGACAGTCAGACCGCAATGCCATCCATTATCAAAAACCACATTTTCTCTATAATCTATATTTTATTCACGTCAATATGTACAGTGGTTGAAGTTTCAGAGACAAATGAACATTTCATCAACAATTTTCGTACTCCCTTTCATTATTTTTTAATTGTTATACGAATTCAAGTTTTCCACCAAATTGTACAGAAATCCATTGTTTATCTATTGTTCATATTTCATTATATTTGATACAGTTTATCTACAGTGGCGAAGAAAATGGAAACTTTAGACTTTGATTTAAGAACACGCTGTATAATAATTTTACTCTCAGTCCTTTTGAAATACAGTGTTAGGCAAAACCATATCTCCCATATTCTCTAATTGTATAGGGCCTGTCAGAAAGAACGCATGTTTTTTAAATTAGTAGTACAGTCAATATAAGTATGGGAAAAATATTTTATTACATCAAAATACTCTGAAATACATACCATTTTTTGAGTAAAACAAAATTTACGTTCTAAAAACTGTGTCGGCCATATGGCGCCCTTGAACCGAAATGCAGGAACCAAGCCTCTCCCGAAATGAGCCCATTGCGTCTGCCAGCATCCGTGCAGGAATTTGGGTTACTTCTCTTCTTATTTTCTGCTTCAAATCGAGGCTTGCTTTGGTAAACTTTTGATATCAGGTAGCTCAATAAAAAAAATCACACGTTAGCAGGTCCGGGGAGTGAGGGGGCCATGGAATAAGCCATGACGTGAAATGAGACGTCCTGGGAATTTTTGCAGAAGAAGTTCCATCGAAGTACGAACTGTGTGAGATGTTGCCCCGTCTTGTTGGAACCACACTGTTCTGAGGCGTCGAAGTTCTGGAAAAAAAATTGTTCAGCATGTGGATGTAACGCTCTGAATGCACAGTAGTTGTTTCTCCATCATCCTCAAAAAATAAGGGCCAATAATCATCGTTGGGCCTACTGCACACCAAACTGAAACTTTCGGGGTGCTCATGCAACTATTGGGGGTTCACTGGAGACCAGTATCGACAATTTTGTTTATTGAGGTATCCATGTAAATGAAAGTGTGCTTCATCACTCATAAACAACGTCATGTCATTGTTATCCAACTGTTCAATCATGAGCTGTGCAAAATTAACACGTTGTGCATAATCCCCTGGCAACAGTTGTTGACAAACTTGGATTTTGTAAGGATGGAACACAATCCTTCTTCAAGATGCGACGCACAGAGGACGCGTGGATCCCTAGGGCACTGGCACACAAACGGACGGAACGATTCGGGCTTTACAGCGTGTCAACTCTCACTCTGTCTACGTTTTTGGGGGTTCTAACAGTCCGGTTTCGCCCTGGCGGTTTTTTCTTCATCACATTACCTGTTGTGTTGAATGCTTCCACCCATCTCAAAATGGTGTTACGGCCTGGTACTGTCCCACGACGTGGAACACGAAAGTGAACGCGAAACTCACGTTGCGTTCGAACGGCAGATTCGCCATTGTAAAAGTATCGACGTACAGTGAACACACGATGCTTAACGTTCCAAACCATTTTACCAACTGAAGCGTCACTTCTCCCACTATCCAACACGTCCTTCCCCACCGACACGGGACCGGTCCACTCGATGTAGTACCCATTCGAAAAACATGCGTTTTTATGTCCAATAGGAAGTTACTATGATGTCATTAACAGTCTTCGTCTCTCCAACTCATCACAGCTCAGTTTGCCATTCTAGATGCCCGCATGAAAAGTGCTGTCCCCCGTGAGGTTGTAGATCGGCAGCTTTACCGAAGAGGAAGAGTATTGGAGTCGAATCTCGGGGAACACTATGGGATGCAAAGCACCTCAGGGAGATCATATGACCGCGGTATATCATAATGTCCTCTTTATTATGTGGGAGCAATATTCGACCCAAGAACGACTAGAAGGCTCCTTTTCGAAAATTATAATACCGATTAAAATTTGTGAATTGTTGTGTTACATCCACATCCATTCTCCTCCAAAAGATCAATCCTCGCTCGAATTTTCACACAGAAAGGCAATAGATTCATGTACAAACTGATGAAGTACTTTTTGAATACGTACGATATTTAAAAAAGTTATGAGAAGAAATCGGTGGAAAAACGATAATTTGCCTCGAAAACTCCAACCACTGTATATATTGACGTGAATAAAAAACAGATTATAGAGAAAATATGGTTCCTAATAATAGGGAAGATTGCGGTCTGATTGGCAACTGGAGTTACACAACAGAGTGACTTAAAATTGGGGCAACCAAACACATTTCGCTTTACTCGGTACAACCAGTCAAACCGTGGCAATCAAGAAATCAGATATGCGAAATTGAGCCAATAAGTGTTTCTACCGCCTGCTGAAAAAATCAATAAAATCTAGTTGAATATAAAAAAGTAGGCGCCCCTCAAGTTTTTCTCGACCCAGACAGCATTGACTAAGCAAAAATGATTTGTATCGCTATGGGTTAGAGTGAGGGTGTAAAAATAATTGCAAGTAACCTCAAAATCGCTATATTTAACTGGACTTATGTTTTCATTCGGCTACAGACTGCTATGTAGGTGCAAATTTTATTTTTTGCACTGATGAAGCTTACCTTATTTTGCCAAAAAGGGTCCACAGGTTTCATCGGATATGTTCGAATTACTTTTCTCGCTTTATCTGTTATCCACGGGTGTATTAGCAGTTCCTTCGCACCAATCCTTTTTGATGAATCTGATACCAGAAGTCTACAATAAAAGTCACACAGTATAAATTAACAACTTTATGGATCCACGACTTCAAGCGGCTGACACTTTTTTCTAAGAACGCTTACGCTTAAGTAAAGTTTCATACAAGAAAAAAGAAAACATCCTAAATAAGCCCTGTGGGTACTCTGACGTATCCTAAAAATACGTAAAACACTTACACAGATACACAGACATGTTAAGCTTTCTAGTTGTGGATCATTCTTTACTTCTAGCGAGGAAGTATTGTAATCGCGAACGTTTTTTGGATGTTATATGACATATACATCACGAAAAAGCATGTCACTCATTTGCGTCGGTCTGCCGGTTTGTCTGTCGGTCTGTTTGTCGTCTATGACTTGGAAAGTAATGCTTGGATTTGGATAAAATGTTCACACAAGGTTATTGCTATACCGAGGTCGAAAAATCTTTGTAGTTTTTGAAAATCGGTTCAGTGGCGGAGGAGAATAAGGCCAAAAAACAAAAAAAAGTAAAAATCGCTCAACGTCAGTTTCTGATCATTTCCAGAAAAACTTTTCTCGTTGTTAAAAATTGGGGGTGAGGGGTGGGGGAAGGTATATATCAATCTTTGTCGTTGGTATATTTATATGCCTCCAGCACCAGTGACCTATTAGACCTGCTTCACTCGTCATATATTCCCCGTACATTTACCCTTAGAACTTGAAATATCTGGCGGTCGTGCGTCGCAGTCGGCAGTCGTTTCCGCGCTACTGTGGGCTGTAAAAGTCAATATGGTCATCCACCCGGGATTAATCATAGCAACGATCATAACTAGCCTGCAGGAATTTCTCGTAGGGCAAGGAGGAACGTCATTTAATTCTTTGTTAAACATGTTTCATCTCAGTAGGTGCCGAACATAATCCTTTACGGACTGATGACATCGTTGCGTGGAAAGTACCGAGTCAACTTACTTGACGCTTTTTTTTGAATATATGTATGTATATTTTATACCGTTGCAATTAAGATACGTTTCCATTACGACAAATTTGTCACGCAATATATACGTAATTTCATTCTAACTTTGCTCAGCAAGATGTCACGGCACATATGGCTGCAGTTTGTTAAAGTGGAAACGTACCTTAGACTGCATTGTTTTGCTTTTTTATCGCAGCGTTATTCTACACTGGAAAATTTCCCGGGCTGATTCTAGCTCACATTTTCTCGATTTTTCTCAATCCATTTTTATTTCTTATTGGATAGTATAACGTTTTTAACAAAGCCCTACCTTGACATAAGCGCCCTGAAGTCCGATGAGAACATGGCTAGCGCCTTTCGATGTGAAGAAGCGAGGCCTTTGTTGATCTGAGCCACCAGATGTTTGCGACGTTCTTGAGACGACAAGTGATCGTTTTTGTTAGAGCTCACGAACGGCAGCTGCCCTAACACCATGCCGTACAGAATGATGCCTCTGAAATTATAATAAAAATATTCAACCTGTAGCGAGAATCCTTTTAGCACAGGATCTTATACAGGGTGGCTGGTATGTAACTGACTGGTTTGTATCTTGAATATTTGTGAAATGAAATAAAATACATCAATTTTTTTCATCTTAATCTTTTATTGAAACTTAGAAGTGATGTATGGAAACTTAGAAATGATATATTGAAAATAATATCAGACAAATGCGCGCCTGTAGAAGCCGCGCAAATCTGAGCCCTCTTGATTACATTTTCCAACACTTTTTGGTATGTTTCGGAAGGAATATTTTCAATCGCTTTCGTAATACTGTTCTTCAGCTGGTCTATAGTATTTGGTTTGTTGGCATAAACCCTATTTTTCAAAAATCCTTATAAAAACATTCAGCAGCCATTAAATCCGGTGACGTTGGTGGGCAGTTGACACCACCACATCGAGAAATCAAACGTGCCGGAAATATTGTTCGCAAAAGATCCATTGTTTTCCTAGCTGTGTGACAAGTTGCTCTGACCTGCTGGAACCACATGTTTTGCAGGTTAAATTGTCGGGTTTGAGGAGCCAGAAAGTTCTGCACCATGTCACGGCGGTAGCGCTGGTCAGTAACAGTAAGAGAATCACATGCAGCGTCCTCAAAGAACTAAGATCAAATCACACCTCGATACCAAACACCGCACCAAACCGTGACTCGACGAGGATGTAGTGGTCGTTGATGGATGACACGAGGATTCTCTAATTCCCAGTTACGACATTTCTGCTTATTAACAAATCCGTTCATATCGTAGTGGGCTTTATCGCTCATTATCAGTTGCCGGTAAAAATCGTTATTTTGAGTGTTAAGCTGCAATATTGCATGACTGTATTTTCGGCGACTTTCATGGCCACTAGGCTGTAGTTCTTCGTTTAACTGAATATTGTATGGCCGCAAATCTTCTTTTAAACTAGTACATAATGACTTGCGACGAATACCCAGTTCTTGAGAACGATGTCAGGTGGACATCTCAGCCGCTCCACTACACTTTCACGAACTCTCTCGATACTTTCCGGAGTACGAACAGTTCAAACATGGCCCGACCTTGGTAAGTCTTTAACTTCACCTGTTTGTTCAAAATTCCACACCAACTGAAGAATGGTGATGACACTGGGCACGTTATTATGACCGAAATCTTGCCATAGCTTCCAACTCGTTGCAACAACCGACTCATTATTTAAGTAAAACGCTTTAACAGTACGGATACGTTGTGGGATCGTGTAGCACTCCGTGATGAATTGGTCACATGTGGTTTAAACATCTACTTCGGCGCCACCTACTGAAATGTGTGTATCAAAAGTTGCGCGCAATTTAAGCCAGTCAGTTACCTATATATTCACCACCTTAAGCAGCAGTGTCCAAGCATTAAATATCCGAACACTCAAAATACAAAAAAAAATATTTTTGAAATAAGGTGCTAAATAAGTTTCAGTATTCAAAAAAATGAGTTTATCGATGACCTCAGATATGATCTAGATAACGACTTCTGAGGTTATTTGGAGGTCAAGTATGTGAATTCAAATAGCAGCCACCAGTTTAGATAACCGAATCGTGTAGTGTTTCAGATTATACAGGGTGACTTCGAAGTTGAGTCATTTATTTCAACAGTGAGTAGATCTGATCAAAAGAAATGTTTTTTCCTTCAACATTTTTGTGGTAAAATTAAAGTAAAAAAGTTATAGCCCTTTAGAAGTTTGAGTACCGCCCTGTCTCAATAATAATATTTTGTGCTCGTTTTTGGCAACAACAGATATAATCCGCCTTATCGGTTCATCGCATCGGAAACAAAAAAGCGAAAGAATTTGTAACGCTTATCACGATGTTTTTACTACAATTTTATTCAGTTGTATTCAGTCAATGTGTCAGTCGGTAACGCGTGAGTGAATAGTGGTCTTTGTTGCGTGGCTCAAACGAAATAAAAAATGGCACATGTTTACGAAAATGCTGAACTTGTGGACATGATTCTTATTTACGGAGGGGAGTCTTTACAAAATGCTGCCGCGGCATCACGGATTTATGCGGATCGGTTTCCCAATCGAGTGCAACCAATCCCTCGTGCCTTTGTTAATGTAGTACAAAGGGCTCGTGAATCAGGTGACTTAAGACCTCACAGGGGAGGGCATGCCGGTGTTCCAAGACCGCACGATCAAATACAGGTCCGCACTGAAATACTTGTCGGGAGGATACTTTATAAAACAAGGTATCATTTTTTTTTTATTTTTTCTTATTTTTACACACATATTTTGGTTTATCTTCCTTCTACAATCATTATCTGAAAATTAATGACTCAACTTCAAAGTATATCAGTTTGCATTTTCGTACATGAATTCAAGCGGTCATAAGTAACGCAGTCAACCAGATGATGCAAATACCCTCATATCGGAGCTTAACACAAATTTAGAAATGATAAGATAGTCAAAAAATTGTTGTCTCAGACTTAACCCCACAAATACTAAGGCTTGTTGTATTGGTTCTAGACTAGTTGTTCCAAAATTTAAAAAAGCAGTGAATGCAAATATACTTTTAAATGGTACCACTACTCAAATTGTAGAGGAAACAAAAAGTTTGGGAATACTATTAGATACAAATTTAAGTTTTGAATGTCATGTTATGAATAAACTCAAATTGTGCTATTATAAATATAAAACGCTTCGGAAATATAAACACTTACTGACATGTGATATTAAATTAATGCTTGTAAACTCGTTAATCCTCATACATTTGGATTATGGTGTCACAGTTTATTACAACTTCCTTACAGAGGAAATAAAACAAAAATTCAGATTTCACAGAATCGTTGCGCACGATTTTTTTTATAATGATATAGGTAGACAAGAAGACATGGCTACTATGTGAGAGAAGACATCTTAAAATATATCTACCGTCCATTGCTTTTTTATGTTGCTCTATTATATAAAGTTTTAAGATATAAATCTCCAAATTATCTGCATAATATTTTAGAGAAAAGATTCTCTGTTCGCCATATTTTTCTAAGAAACGATAATTGTTATAATCTCCCAGTCCATGTAACATCTAAATTCAAAAAAGCTTTCACTTACACAGCACCTTGTTTATTAAATAAATATTTGGAACTTTGCCAAATAACTTCCAGTAGTAGTTTCAGAAAGAAATTCAAGAAGGTGCTTCACCAGTTACAAGCTTCTGAAGCTAAAGATTATTAACTTACGTTTCAATATTGTATTTTATCTACAATGGTACCTCAATTTTATACATTAATTACCTATGTAAAATTAGAAATAAGATGAATCGCATGACTACATAAAATAGTCTCAATTTACTGAATCTCTATGTACTTGCTGTAGGCGACGGTGAAAAATGGCAATGCCAATCCTCAGCCTTTTGGAATGTTGATTTTCTTTAATGTATATATATTCCTTTTGTATAAGTCTCCAATAAACATTATTATTATTATATATTGCCTACACATTTGTTCCTCGAAGCAGCATATATTTCTATCGATCTGCATTTTTAAATAATCTATTAACTCACCCTTTAAAGAAAACCGATCTAGTCCTTACGCACGACTTCCCTGGTGCTCGTCCTCATCCGTCGAGGTTGCGTACAATGCGGATTATACGAAAAGCCCATTATATTCTAGGGGCGTCATTAGCTTATCTGGGCACCCGCAGGTGTCACTGCACCCCCTCTTTATATTATAAAAACACCATTTAAATTCATCTTTAGAGACGCCCGCCATGGACCCTTTTTTCCAAAACTTCGCTGACTGGAAGTAATGGAAAAGTTTGACGAAACGCCCGTTTACCAATCCAATATGGTACAGTCATTTTTTAAGAGGTTTTATCACTCAAAAGTCAATTTATGATTAAGGAGAATAAAATGGTGTCAAATAGGTTGACTCTGTACGTCTCGCGCACTTTTACATCAGTTCATTATAATAATAATAAAATAAAAATAACAATTTTGTAATTTATAAACGGAAAACCAAATTTGTCTGACATTTGAGTTCAACGTGTACTAGAGAGAAGCGCGAGAAGTGTGTATCAACACATGTTAGAAAGAGAGAGAAGCCGGCTGAAGAACGAAGGTCATCACCACATTGCTTAGCAACGGTGATGTAGAAGGTCGTGTAATTTGCCGCGTTGTCCATATGTTCCATCAGAAAATGTTCGCACAGACTTCTACAATAGGTTAGGCTACTGTCAAACCCAAGACGGAGGTCTGTTCGAACATTTAATTTAATATTTTGTTTTCATTTCGATTACAATTATTTATTTCAATTTTGATTGATTTCCAACGATGGTGATAAAATCAACACATCCTGAGTTATTGTTACATTTTGCGCCAGCGATGCGATCGAGAATATAACATATCTATGAACAAACCTACCTTGAATTGAAATGTACAAGATGCGGTATTGCCAAGCGATTCTGAGCTTTCATTACAAGCTAAAATGGAGCGGTGTTAGGACCGATCCCGAATCGATTCTAAACAGATTTGACACAATTCACAATTCTAAAATGTGTCCGCTCCAAATTAAACCATTATTTGGGCATAGAGAGTAGACTAACGCATATTTTCAACACGCATCTTAATTCAAGGAACTGCTGTAACTTGGCAACACGGCAGATTACCGCGACAGCGTTGTTAGGCAACGTGGTGATGAGCTTCGCTATCCAGCTGGCTTCTATACCTTTCTAACATAGGTCTCTTTCATACACAGTTAGCACAAGCGGTCAGACAAATCTGGCTCTCAGTGTACAACATTTTTCCTAGAAGTGTTCTAGTCATATATGTTAAAATTGTTTCAATTTATCAAAGAACGTATTGATTTTTGATGTCTACATGCACTTGAAGCCTTGGTCTATAACTTTAATTCTATATAAAAAATCTAATACAATTTTTTTTAAAGAAGTCCATTTTTTGTCTGAATAAATAATCGCTGTGTCGTCAGCGTAACTATTAATTTCTCATTTATTGTTCAA